ATCATTTACCTTCAGCTGGATCCTAAAGTAACAAAACTCAAAACATTTCATTCTAGAAATGCCTTAACCTGTCCGTGCCTAAAGACTGGAACTTTCACTGTTTGATTCAATTCCTTGAGTCTAACATTTTGAACTTTTGAGTTTACAACAAAGACATTTATGAACAACTAATGAATATTGTATATACATGGTAGCTTTCTCTAAAGCTTATTGCCATTAAATTGAAGCATCAAGACCCAAAAACTGCATAATACGATAAGAAGACACTACAAAATAACCAAAACTATTTAGCTAAACCAAATCAATTACTGTTCTACCAATCAGAGGGTTTAGTGTGGAAGAAGAACATATTCTTCCACCTCGAATAGATGGTATGATATGAATGTTTACCATTGCAGTTACGTACGATATAAAAATTCTATCTTGTTAAAAGGAAAAATATGCTAATTATATGAGCAACATGGCGACAAAGTTTTTGACAGCTAGACACTAGGATTATGACAACAAATATATAAACAAACTCTTATCCTAGTATATAACGCGTCGTGAGGACCATAAGTCCATAATAACAAATATAGAAAGAGCAAAATCCAACCGTTTGCTTATTTACTTTAACTTATGTTTTGGGTTGACAGTATTTCTAAAAAGAAATTATCCTTCTTAATTACGAGCGATGTAATGTCTTCTTTACATATTTTAGAAACAAGCCACGCTAAAAGGTTTAAAAAAACATTAAGCCAAAATTGTCATATAGTATAATATATTTGAGTTTTAGGGTTTGACATGCACAAAACTTTACTTACAAGTTGGGCTTTTTAAAACCTTTTTCTCCGCTTGGGCTTTTTAATAATAATATTGCGAATAAAGAAGAACAAACAGTTCCACCGTGCTAATCAGGAAATTAACCGAGCTCCTAGAACTCTCTTTTTTTTTGTCTCATATGTTCTGTTCGGAAAAGCTTTGGAGGTTACTCAAAGGGTAGAATTGGAAATTAATCGAGCTCCTAGAACTCTCTTTTTTTTTGTCTCATATATTCTGTACGGAAAAGCCTTGGAGGTTACTCAAAGGGTAGAATTAGAAATTCAGGGAGTGTTTTTCAATGACCAAATTACTTTCATTTGAAACGCTTTTATAAATAAGCAAACAAACCCATATCGTCTCAGAAAGCTGTGAGAGAGAGAAAAAGAGTGGGTGGGAGAGGAAAAAGAGAGAGAGAAAAAAAAAATGGATGGAGATGGAGTAGATCGGGAAAGAGAAGTTGGGATGACCGATTTTAAGATTTCAGTGGGTATTCTCGTTATCATTTTACATATTTTAGAAACAAGCCACGCTAAAAGGTTTAAAAAAACATTAAGCCAAAATTGTCATATATAATATATTTGGATTTCAGGGTTTGACTTGCACAAAACTTTACTTACAAGTTGGGCTTTTTAAAGCCTTTTTCTCCGCTTAGGCTTTTTAATAATAATATTACGAATAAAGAAGAACAAACAGTTCCACCGTGCTAATCAAGAAATTAACCGAGCTCCTAGAACTCTCTTTTTTTGTCTCATTTGTTCTGTACGGAAAAGCCTTGGAGGTTACTCAAAGGGTAGAATTGGAAATTAACCGAGCTCCTAGAACTCTCTTTTTTTGTCTCATATATTCTGTACGGAAAAGCCTTGGAGGTTACTCAAAGGGTAGAATTGGAAATTCAGGGAGTGTTTTTCAATGATCAAATTACCCTAATTTGAAACGCTTTTATAAATAAGCAAACAAACCTAGATCGTCTCAGAAAGCTGTGAGAGAGAGAAAAAGAGTGGGTGGGAGAGGAAAGAGAGAGAGAGAGAGAGAGAGAGAGAGAGAGAAGTTGGGATGACCGATTTTAAGATTTCAGTGGGTATTCTCGTTATCATTTTACATATTTTAGAAACAAGCCACGCTAAAAGGTTTAAAAAAACATTAAGCCAAAATTGTAATATATAATATATTTGGGTTTCAGGGTTTGACTTGCACAAAACTTTACTTACAAGTTGGGCTTTTTAAAGCCTTTTTCTCCGCTTGGGCTTTTTAATAATAATATTGCGAATAAAGAAGAACAAACAGTTCCACCGTGCTAATCAGGAAATTAACCGATCTCCTAGAACTCTCTTTTTTTGTCTCATATGTTCTGTACGGAAAAGCCTTGGAGGTTACTCAAAGGGTAGAATTGGAAATTAACCGAGCTCCTAGAACTCTCTTTTTTTTGTCTCATATATTCTGTACGGAAAATCCTTGGAGGTTACTCAAAGGGTAGAATTGGAAATTCAGGGAGTGTTTTTCAATGACCAAATTACCCTCATTTGAAACGCTTTTATAAATAAGCAAACAAACCCAGATCGTCTCAGAAAACTGTGAGAGAGAGAAAAAGAGTGGGTGGGAGAGGAAAAAGAGAGAGAGAGAGAGAGAGAGAGAGAAAAAAAAAATGGATGGAGATGGAGTAGATCGGGAAAGAGAAGTTGGGATGACCGATTTTAAGATTTCAGTGGGTATTCTCGTTATCATTTTGTGCCTTTGTGAGTTCGGCTTTCTCGTCTACATGTTAGGAGAAGATGTTGCCCTTGGAATCGTGTTCAGCTTATTGGCCTTCTGGTTGGTCATCCATCGTATTCTGGAGTTCGTTAGAAAGATCAAGATTGATGCAGCTTTTATGAATACATACATTTACATCAAGCTTCCGTGGGGCTTCATCTGGTTTTTTCTCTCTTTCACTGTCCTGAACGGCTTAGTCTTCTACATAGCCTATGTCTACCAGATCGGTAACTTTTTCGTCAAGTCTAAAGTAAGTTCAGATGGATTTACTCTTTTCATATGGGTAATTTCTGCCATTTTCGAGTACTACCGTTTTGCTTTAGCTCTGACTCTCACTCTTTTTTATATCTATGTAACGTGGTAGTTTGTTGTTGAGTTCTTCTTTCAAAAAAAAAAAAAATGTAGTAGTTTGTTTTATTTATCTTGTTCTTTGTTATTCCGTTTTATGTAATATGAGTGCAAACAAAATGTTATGTACTTTCGGTAATTTTTAGCTTTATTATCTTGTTCTTTGTTATTCCGTTTTATGTAATATGAGTGCAAACAAAATGTTATGTACTTTCGGTAATTTCTAGCTTTATTTTTTCACATTATATATTCACACCAACATCGACAAAACTAATTTATTCTTCACTGATAAAAAGATTATATTGATCGGATATATAGGATCCCATATATATAGAGTCCACTAGACAGAAATTAAAAGATACAAAGAGAAAAAACAAGCCGATCAAGATGGATATATGATACACTCTCGTCTTCAAAAACCAGATCTGAAGCGAACAAGGATAATTATCATGTAGCCACATACGATTGAACCCAAAATCACATAAACACGAAAACCTAATTTATTCTACTCCTTATTTTATTCTGTAGACAGAAATCCAAAATATATCAAACGGAACCAAAAACATTTTTTTAATGGTGGTACACGTATTTGTTTGTTCTCTGCCTACGTTGACACGTGTCAATAAAGTATTGGCGGTCAAAGGTAAGGAACCTATCAGTAGAGTGCACTCATTTACTTCAAATGCCCATAGGGCTCATAGGCTCATTAATATCACAGGCAAATGAACCTCTCTTCTTTTATATAAAAAAAATATTAGTAAAACTTTTTCATTTTTACTGACATTCACATCTTTGACTAGTTCCATTCATATGTAAATAAATGTTGGTAAGTAATCGTCTTCCACCCCAAGAAAAATAATTTTCTTTTAGCATAGCTCGATTAAATGATCAATTATTTATGTTCGTGATGGACTAAAGGAGCAACATTTAAGATCATAATTTTTTATTTTTTTTTAAAGTAAAATTTGATATACATATAGCCTAATTTTTTTCCAAATTCTACACAGGCTTAAGTGAGTATATAACGTAAAGATAAATACCATATGCATAATACTGTAAATAAAAAAATAGTACTCCACTAGATTTTAACCCGCGGTACACCGCGAGGCTATATTTTCTTAAAAAAAATCAAAATGTAGAAAATTAAGGAAGATATGAATTTATGATTCTCAAAATCGTGTTCGTAATATCTTTAATTAATATTTTTCAAATTTAAATAATTTAATGCCAATGGCATTCATCCGTAAATACATTCCAACTCCAGGATTTATTTGCTAAAAGTCATCCAAAAATGTATATATAGATTTTGTAAAATAGAGAAACGATAGTAAAAACTAATTTACATTTTCCACGTCTTCATGGTGAAGTCATGATGCCATTATGTTTCCGAGGCGTTGCAGAAGTTTTAAAACTACGATTACAAAATATTCTCTCCATTTTGTTTTGGAAATCGAGAGGTTGAGAAGTGGACTGATGAAGTATTGAGGAGGTTCAAAACAAGATTTTCCAGCAGTGAGGCTATAATGTTATAAGTCTTTGAAATTTATAAAATGCTTATTAATATATCATGCAAATTGTCTATTTAGTTTAAATGTAATAAATCATTTTTTATTTAATTAATGGAAAATGATAGTAGCTAAGAAATGCAAAAATATTTGATTTAGGATGGACAAAGTGAATTAAAATTATTTTAAAACAAAACACAAAAATGAAACTGAATATAGATACAAATGAATTAAAATGTGATTTATGAACTTTATATAGTTAAGTTGTTAAAGAAGACGTGATTATGCATTAGAAAAGGAAAAATGTAAATTGTTTCCATATCTATGCGAGTATTCAGTTGATTTTCCCATTAGACTATATATTGGTCGTTAAACTTTCCAAATATTTCACACATGTATAATGTAAATTAAGAGGATATACAGTATGTATAACAATTGTAAAAAGAAATATATACACGAAAAAGTGTGTTTTCCAACTATTCACATGTATAATATAAGCCAAATCTTTACATATTTGACGTATATTTCCCTTTTTAAGAAAGATTCACTCGATATTGTATCCAACGATTATGTTCACCTTGATATAATAAAATTGTATAAAGACGAAGTTAAACCATCTTTAATTCCAAACTAAAAACCGACAGAAATTTTCATATATACTTTCGAGCCCACTAATGGCCGAAAACATAAGCAAAGCAATACCCAAACTATTTAGGCCTGGCCTGAATAAGCGTCATCAGAGCTAAAAAGTGTACTGTTTTCTTTTTCTGAAAATAGTAGAGGAATTATTTCTTGAATTTTTAGAAACATGGTTGACGATAAGCCCTGGATTCTAATAGTTTCTATGTGGGCAAAAAGACTACATTTTCTATGGAAATAAAATGCTAAGGGAAAAAAGAAGAGTAAAGTTACCTAACCGTACTAGATCTGAGAAAGAGTTCCTGCGTTTTTTTCATCCATCTGGGCTATTAAAACCAAGCAGCAGTCTCCGTGAAAACGATGATTAAAACCGATGATCATGAGCGGTAATTGGCTTGATTGTAGTGTACATACAAAGAACAAACCAGGCTTGGGTCGCTAACCGATTCCTCTTTGACTTGGTTTCCTTCTTTGTTGCTCTCAAGAGCACACTTGAACAGAAAAATCGAGATTGGTCTGAGGTCTATCAAGTCTTGACTCTTCTTTCACGGCTTCACAACTTTTTGCCTTCTTTAGATTTCCAAGACCCTAGTGATGTGATCGTACAGTATTCTTCTAAGTTCTTGAGTTTATTGCAGCTAAACTTGAGCAACCATTGATGTTACTTTCCCCTGTTTGGTGAAATCAAGAGGAAAATCTGAGGTCTATGATACTTCTTTATTCAAGAATGTTCTTCCTCTCTGTAATCGGAAGTCTATAAAACCAAAATTACCTGGGGAAGTGAGGCGAGGAAGGATCGTCAGGTGAAGACATATGAGCAGAAGCAGCAGCACCACGAAACCTTGGCTGATCCTCGTCATTTAAATGTGGCGCTTCACCCGCTGGTCCAAGAGACCCATACTCATGGTGTTCAGATGGTGAATTGTAAACATTATTATGGTCATATGGATAAAACATCATCACAGATGGAACGTTGTGTCCCTCTGAAGAAGTCACACTGTTTTGCTTCATGCCCGGCGGCAATCGGTACATACCATATGCAATATTTCCAGAAGCATCTTGTGAAGTGTTTGAGCGAATTGGACCGTTTTGAGAATGATGAGAAGAATAGGAGGACGACTCATGCCTATACGACGACCCCCAATGCCTATCAGATCGGTCTTGCCTTGAGCTTGGCTTATTGTCAGCTTGGTTACGATTGTTGTGGTTACGTCCAGAACCTCGTGTCTTTGTACCAGCATTCCAATTCCCTTCTCTATCACTATGATGGTCGGTTCTGTCATGCCCATAATTCCCACGCCTCATGCCAGATGTAGGCCGCTGCTCCCTAGGAGAAATCTTCTGCAACAAATTCAGCACAAGTTTAGAGCAGTGTGGCAAACCAAACCGTCATGAGTTTTATATCAGAAGATAAAAAAAAAACAAAGACAGCACAGAATCAGTAAAGGAGAGAGCAACACGCCATCAATATGAGCATAGCATAACAAGCAAGTAGAACGGAAAAAATCCAGAACCATATAGCCTGCAACATGACCAAATTTGTCAAGTTGCAGACTTGAATGCGAGTAGGATAAGCAGACAGATCATGCTGTAAATTCATAAGAAATATAGGGCTGCAAGACTGACAGACATTTTATTATTGAGAAGCAAGGTAAAAGCTCTTCATTTAGCATTAGAAAATATCTCAGGTTCCTTTCACAAGACCAGACAATAAAATGAAAGTTGTACCTCGATTAACCAAAGCATGCACGCAAGTATAATGGAAGCTCAAGGAAAGTATTAAGTTCTTACAGGATTTGGAAAATAGGTCCCCGTCCCACTTCGGTATCTGGGAGTTTCATTAGCATAACGAGGGTAAATGTTGGGTGGCCTGGTTGAAACAGGTTGTACAGGAGCAACCGGTACAAGACGAGGTCCGTAGGTCATGAGTTGATTCACAACATTGGTGTAAGCAAGAGGTCTTCCAGGACCATCCCATGGTAAACGCCCCTGGAGATAAGCAGGTGGCACTACAACAGGGGCAGGATACAACACAGGCGGATGTTGAGAATTCTGGCAAGAGCGGCCATACTGCAAATTTTGCCAATGGCTTATAAAATCACCATTGAGGATATCATTCTTATGCTCCACCTGTTCTGCAGAAGAGCCAATTCTAGTGGCGTGCGAAGAAACTACTATCTCAGACTGATCAAGTCCCCTGGACGAGTCAAAACTTTTACAGGGATCATGATTCTCTACTCCTTCGTCCACACTGTGGTGGCTTGCCAGAGTATCCGATGTCGCATTACCACCAGCTTGGTAATTGTACATTGGGAGCATTGCAACAATCGGAACAGGCGGCCCTGTGGGATAAAACGTGTATCCAGAATTATCAACCTCATTTTGTTGCATGCCATGGCCAAGGAGAAAAGGAGCAAGAGACACTGTGGACTCTGATCCACTTGCCTGAGCTAGTTCATGACCATGTATTTGATGCCTCTGTACTTGAAATGAAGGGACAGTAGGACGAGGCTCCAGATCTCTATCGATTATTTCATTGCTAGATACAGGAATCCATTCTCTGTTATCATCATCAATCTGGATTGAGTGCTCAGGAACACTCTTTCCTTTTCCATACAGTGTAGATGCAGCCCCAGACACAACTTTCCTATTCCGTCTATCCTTAGCTGGCTTTGACCCCCTTGTGGTTGACCCATCCCAAGAGCTTTCAGATGAAGTCCTGCTTCGAACGGAACTAGCACCAGACACAGATCTAGAGCCTGCAGTTCTCTCCTCACTCTGAATCTGACTGCTTCCTCTGACTGGAGAGTGGGAATTTTTGAAACCATCTCCCCTTGTCAGTCGATTTTTCCTACTTGAGGGTACAAAACTGTGCTCTGCAAAAGATGACTGATGTTTATCATCTGCCTGATGCATTCCATAACCACCATTTTCAAGTCCAAAACTATGAGTTCCCCTTTCTGGCTCGTGCCAGAGATCATTGTCAGACTCATCGACATTCACTTCTGAAGACCCCATGTCATCACTACCAGTTTTGCTCGGCTTTTCTGAAATTGGGTGGGCTCCACTGGGAAAATAATGGGTAAACGGTGGCGACACAAAGTTTTGTGGAAATTGCACATTAGTACTCCAAGGTGTGTCGATGAAAGGAAGGTTAGAAGGAATAATACCAGGCATATTCCTCTGACCATATCCCATTGAAGCTAAGATAGAAGGTGTAATTGGAAACGGTAAGTGACCCGTTGAAAAATTAAAAGGGAAAGGAAAATGTCCATTAAAACCTTGCCCAGCAGCAGATGTCATCGAGTTAACAAGATCTTGCTCTTCCTGTTCCCCTGCAACAGAGAAGTCTTCATTCACGGAAACTGACCCTAATTCATCATAGTAACTATTCACTGCACTGCTCATGTCAGCAGTACTATCAGGACTTCGAGGGGATGGAGTATGCCTAACTGACGATGAGTCGGCCGAATATCGAACACTGCTTGACAAAGTTTCAGACTCCATATTCATTTTCCTGATATTATCAACCCTGGTAGAATTAGTTTGGCGTTTCCCAGCTTCTGGGGCTCTACTACGACGTGATTGTAAAAGAGCTTCATCATATGTCTCAGTAAGCTCAGGGCTAGACCGGGTTCTGGCAAAAATATGCGTACCATGAAAATTATTAACCAGAGTTTCTGGCTTAGCAGTTTGCTGAAGCTTATCATTTGAAGCACTTTGATTGGAAATGACATCCTGAGCAGGTTGGTAAGAGTTGCCTCGACTCTTTTGCGTTTGATATGTTACTCTAGATATAATTTCTGTTCCACAGTTATTCTGTTGAGAGGGCATACTCCGAGCTCCGTGAACCCCACCAAGACGGATGGCATTTTGGTTTCTTTTGTTGCTTGAAGAATTACTAACATTTTCAGCTTGATGATATGACTCAGGATCTCCCAGTCTTGATAGCCATAAGTCATTTCCAGGAGCATCAGGACGTCGACCACTGCCGTGTCTTTCCCATGTGTTCATAAAAAATTGGTTAACCTCATGGATCAAATTCTCCTTAGGGCATTCAAGTAACCTAGCCAACTTCTTGGCACCAAGGGTAAATGCACTTCGTATCCTAAAGAAGTTACCTGACACAATAATTGAACAACAAAAACAAAATTCAAGCATGTAAGGAAGTCAACAAGTTTGTGCAACTTCTAGCTTCATACTGTATAACCAACTAAGGGAGAATGCAAATTGCAGATGTACAGATTAGTATTCAATTATAAAAGTACCGGTTTATGAAGAATAGGTAGCAGCATTCAACCCAAGTAAGTACCTTTACTGACACTGCGTCCAAGGTTGTTGTTTTCACGCAAAGGGTCTATAACATTGAAATGTTTGGAAACAAAAGGCTGGCCCTGTATCTCTTGAGGAGCAATATTAACTGCATAAACTTTACTACAAGCTCTATAAAACGCTTCACTAACTCGTAACTCTCCAACATCCTTTCGAGGAGGCGCCGCTGCCAAAAATTGCATAGCAAGACAATCAGTACTAGAGACAGTTACGATGCACAACTAATGCAAATGTATGATGGACAGCAGTTTGTAAATACCTGTTACATCTGGTAGTGAACTAACTGGAACAGGTCCCCAGAGGCTAAGACAAAAATTCTGCCAGTCAAACTTACTAAAGAACTCAAGAAATCGATAGAGGACCTACAAATGCAAGAAGACCAGTCAGGAAGATTGAAGAAGCAATCTTGACAGAATAAAGGCAGTTTCATTATGACATTACCTCAAGGGGTCCCGAAAATGAGTTGTTGAAAAGATAAAATATGTAAAGAACCAAGGTTTCTAGGGCATATGTCGAAATAAGCCCATGGTGAGCTCCCAATATACGGCTCTCGTAGTAACACCAGGCTTTAATCAATATAATACTACGCTTGAATAAATGGTTCTGGTTTATATAGTGATCAACCTGCATATAACAAAGGGAAGAAATCAAAAGATCTGCCTAACTCAGGAAGAGAAGGCAAGTGGCATGTTGTCTTTGGTGGAATGCTAACCTCCTCAAGGAAGCATAATGTACACAGCCCTCCAATCTGGTTGAAAGATATATCCACCACAATATTCTCCACCAGACACTTAATTATCTTTACCTGAAACATTGTACAAGTGAAAAATCATTAGACAATTCAGTACGTCAAGAGACTCAATCTTACTTCGACTAATATCAATGGTTCATACACCAAGCATAGAAGAGGAGAAAAAAGAAGCATTCTAATTCGCATACTTCTGCCTGAATATACTGGACTTCTTTGACATGGAATTCAGCATTCTCGTTCTTCTCTTCCTTTTCCAGCATATCGCGAACCAAATTCGCCCAAGAATCCTTCAGGTTTTGGTTAGCGCTAAAAGCCGTTAAGTCGATATCTCCATCAGGCAAATAAGTCTTCAGAGGTACAGATCCAAACATAAAGATCTGGTAGACACAAAAAGTTACAACTAAGTCAAGGATCAGATACGGATTAAGAACACATTTTCTCAAGGAATAAAAACAAGAAACTTAACCTCAGCTACATCACGGAAATAGGAACTAAACAACAGATAAATGAAATCAAGAATCCCCAAACCAAACCCACCTGAACCTGAGGGAAGCATTCCATGATAAGCCTCCTCACGTAACTGGCAACAGCATTGCGGCGATCTTCGGAAGGAGGATTTGGCTGGATACAAGCAATGAGCTTAGCAGTTCTATCCTCAGCCTTGGCCCATCGCTCCGCATCGAGCTGCCTTGTCACAGATGCAGCCTTGCCTGGCAATAAACCGTTGGGATATAAGAGAGTGGGTGACGGCGGAGAAGCCGCCCATGATTCATGCTCACCCATGCAAATCTCGCCCGTCAGAGTCACGGACGAAACCTTACCCTCAAATCCAAACAAAGACCTTAACCAACCGTTACGTTTTCTTCAACGGTTGCTAATAAGCAACCTCCCTGATTTATCTATCTATATATCGTGGCTTCAAAGTCGCCGGAAATGGGAAAAATCTAATAGCTACGAAGCTAAAAAAACCTTCGATCTGCGTGGCTAATCCGACACAAAATTAATAACCCCAAACATACAAATTTGCAAGAATCAAAATCGAAAAATTGGGCAAAAGAAGGAATCGCAGATGAATTGAAGAAGAAGGTAACAAAAGAAGAAAACCCTAGGAGCAAACGAAGGAGACGGAAGTAAGATTCTAAAAACAGAGAGTGGGTGGCGGAAATCAATAAGAACCCTAGAATAAATCGAGAGAAAATCTAGCAGTATCGACGAATCGAGAGGCAAATGCGAGATTGATCAAGGTTAACACTGGCGGACTGAAATCGTGCGGAAGAAGATGATGAAGAAGACATGACCAAAAATGATGTATATATTTTGATTATTCATTAGTTTTTTTTTTTTTTAATATCTCTTCTGTTGATGATATTATTCTTTTTTTTTTATCTTTCTGGGAGGAGGAAGAGGAAAAAGTGGGAGTGTTTGGTGACGAGGATAGGCAATTAGGGGCGTTTTCGTCAATTTCTCAAAAATTTAATTAGCTTATTATTGACATTGTTTTATTTATGCCTACAACCAAAATAATTGTAAAGTCACACACACAAACAACACAATAATAAATTCTGTTTTTATCAATAATAAAACCAATTAAAATGATAAATGTACGTGTTTTCTATTTTGAGTACGCAAATACTCCACGTGCCTTACTAATTTCTCATGGCCTAAAATGAAACCATTCCATAAAAGTGATTTGTTGATTTAATTTTGTTGTACATATATATGTTTGTAAGAGAACTAGTGTCTTTTTCGCCTCTTCAACCAAATTTCATTTACGTTTTTAGTGAATACGAATGTTGTATTAATGAATTAATGAAAATATGAGACATTGGTCTAGTGGCAAATGATAAGTCCACAGAAGACAGACACCATCACATCAGGGATCGAATCCCCGACTCTACAATTTAATTGTAGAAATTTGGCTAATGGACCGGCCAGTTGTGGCCCAAATGTTGACAAAAAAAAAAAAAAAAAAAAAAAAAGATAACCCTTAAAAAAACAAAATTTTCTTTCTTTCTTATCTAATAAGTACGTCTGTTATTTCAACTAAAGATGATTTTTGGTGTTGGATGCATAATAGGAGTGGGGACTACTCAGTTAAATCTGGTTATTGGTTAGCTAACCAATTACACAATTCTGACCTTATTGCAGCTGCTGAGGCAAAACCCTCCTTAAATGATTTAAAGGTCCAGGTTTGGTCATTACACACTTCTCCAAAAATAAAATGCTTTATTTGGAGAGCTTTGAGTGGTGCTATTGCTGTAGCAAATAAGTTAGAAATGAGAGGAATGAGCTACGATTTGAGATGTCAAATTTGTGGCTGGAATAAGGAGTCTACTAACCATGTTCTTTTCCAGTGTTCTATTGCGCGTCAGGTTTGGGCATTATCTGACTTTCCCTGTCCACCTGGTGGTTTTGAATCTCACTCTGAATACACCAACTTTCAGTATCTGCTTACATTGGCTCAGAATCCAGACATACCGGATCACATTCGTCGGAGCTTTCCATGGACACTTTGGTACTTATGGAAGAATAGAAATGGGTTCTGCTTTGAAGGTAAACTTGTTGTACCAATAGAATTGGTTTTGAAAATTAAAGATGAAGCATCACAATGGATTAATGCTCAAATCCTCGGCTCCAAATATACAAGATCAAAAAATTTTGATAGAGGCAAGCATTCAAAGACATGGTCTAAACCCCCAGCTCCATGGGTTAAATGCAACATTGGAATGTCTTGGTCAAAGCGAAATCACATTGGTGGTTTCTCATGGGTTTTAAGAGATGAGAATGGTGTAGTTTTGTTACATAGTAGACGTTGCTTCTCCAACATTGTCTCTCTGACAGAAGCTAAATTTCACAGCATCTTATGGGCTATTGATAGTATGATTAGTCACAAATACAACTTTGTGATCTTTGCATCTGAAGCCACTTACATGGTAAACACTATCAATAAACCTCAAGACTGGCCTTCTCTACAATATTTTGGTGCTGAACTCAACAGGAAGTTAGCTTCAATTCAGAACTGGAGAATCGAAAATGCAGACACTGAATCAAACAAAGGAGCTTCACTTATTGCTCACAGTGTCATTCAAGGCAATCGATATCAGTCTTATGTGGCAACAGGTTTTCCCTTTTGGCTTAAATCTCTCTTTGATTCAGAAGGTCAGGTTGTTTTTTGAGACTTTTGTTATAACCTGCAACTCCTTTGATTCAGCAGGTTATTCTATCCTTATCATCTTCCCTTTTAATGATTATTTTTGTTTTTACTTTGATAATTTTCTTCTTGTAATCGTTGTCAATTTATGCTTTTGATCAACTGAACCTTTTTAGTCATGTTTTAGTTTGTAATATGTTTGGTTGTAATGGCTCTCATACTGGCTTTGATACTGACTTATGATATAAAACAGACACTCTTGCGAAAAAAAAAAGTACGTCTGTTATTTTTTATTTTTTTTCATCCGTACGTCTGGTTTATTTAGTGGGCCTAGCTATCGAAAGGGAAATTTCACAAATTGCATATAAGCCTAGTATACGGCCTAATTATTTCTTGTTTATAGGCCCACCAGTGTAAAACGCTGCGCATCAAATGGGAGTGATCAGTGATCCATGAAGTTGGAAAAAACCAATTTTTCCACTAAAGCATATTTTGATTACTGAAGAAACTAAATTCTTCAGAATTTTAGAATAGTTAATTCTTTACAATATTTTATTAACTTGTTTGGGCTCACTCACAAGAAATGTAAACAAACGCATAATCAGAAGAGATTCCACTTATATACAACCGTAGATTTTCTCCTCATTAGACACGTGTCATGATCTCCTCGGTCGTCGGCAGGTTCCCGTTTAATCCACGCCCTGCTGACGTCAGCACCGGCCAAACACTCCTCCTCTGTATCCTGGCTTTCCTAACTATGAGCTTCGTGTGTTGCCTGAGAACTCCGTTCACGGCTTTGACGTAGTTTTTGGAATCGTGATCCCTCAAGACCGAACCTTCCGAGCCATAAGCTGCGCGTTGACTCAGTGTTTCGAGAGGGTGAGGGCGGTTCAAAAACGCACGTAACGCCGTAGGAGAGTAACCTTCATTGCTCTTTTCTAAAATGTAGAGAGCGTTACCCGGTGGTAGCCAAGGGTGCGTCGGCGAGACGCTCTCGCTCGGCTGTAGAATAAAAACTTTCCCCATCGGTGAATACAACAGTTTCTGTCAAAAAGCAAAAACACAACCAAATTACTTCAACATCCGTATTTTAATATAGACAAAGATGTTCAAAACGTTAAGCCAAAAGAACAATTATACTAAGGACTTACATTTTTGTTGAGACAAGGATGTGTACGGAAGGACCCATTCAAACGCTTGAGAACGAGAGCAACATGGTCAGGATAATTACACGAGAAGGCTCGTGGGACGATATCTCTATGCATCATCACACAGTGAACATGACTCTCGTCAAGGCCAAGCTCAGCTAGAATCTTCTCACCGCCACAAAACACAAACGGTGAACCGAACGTGACAACGGATTTCATAGCTTCAGAGCTAACGAGTCCTCTAGAGATAAGCATCAAATTCACTATTAATGAAAGACTGCCTCCAAGAGAATGACCCGTAAACTGAAACTTAGCTCTATCTCCGTGTCTAGACAAATGCTCTGTTATTTCTGGTAAGAACTGTTCGTATATTCCTTTTGCTGCCTCGTAGATTCCTCTGTGGACTAATACATCTGTTTCCTGCGACAATCATATCAAATATCTTAAGGTAAGGTCTCTAGGATAAACACAAACCAAAACAATATTTCACGTAACCTAAGCGATTGGATAAACCAAAAACCAAATGTCCAATCTTAAAAGAGATCAAGATCTTTACCTCAAACTTAGCTGGCTCAAAGAAGAGGTTTGCTTTCCAAGAAGCTAAAGAATCAGATCCCTGCAAAATCAGGACACCAATTAACACACTGAAAGCTCGTAACGTGGAGAAAACAGAAGATGTGCTTGTAGTTATAATTTTGAAAACATTTTACCTGAATCACAAAGCACCTAGTGTATGTGTTTGGATCGTCGCAAACAAACCACTCACAAGGAGATGATTGTAGCGACTGTAACTCCCTTGCCGCTTCTAGCTTCTCCTCCTCACCCGCAGCAACCACGGCTGTCATCGTAGACGCTGCCGCCTGAGCAGCAGCAGCTGATTTATAAACCGGGTTGCTCGATTCTGAAAGATCATACTCTTTGCAAGAGTGAATGTAAGACGCAGCTGAAGCAGCAATCTTGTAAGCAGAAGCAGAAGATGAAGCTGATCGTTGAGGCTGCTTCTCGGATTCTAATTCTGGAGATGTAATAACAGGAACACGTGTTGGATCTTGCTCTAGTTTCTCTCTAAGTATGGCTGCTTTCGCTTTCTTTTCCAATGAAGATGTCACAAACTTTAACCCATAGTTTCTTCTCAAATCCTCACCCTTGATCTCAGGTATCGTGTAAGCCAAGTTACACAAATAAGCTAACTGAGAAAGCTTTTTAGCCTCAGACCAAGAAACCTTCACAAGCAATCTAGAGAACGATTCGCGTCCCCAATCACCGTTCTCAGACCCGTAATTCGCAATGCAACCTTCTTCTTCGTCTTCACAACCACAGGTAACATCAACACTTTCCTCTGCAACGTCACCGTTTCCACTCTCTGTTCTTTGCTCTTTCTTCCACTGTCTCCTTATCTCAAGCAACCTCTCGACCCAATTTGCCTTTTTGGCTCCATCTAGATTTGGCTCAGTCTCAATCTCAATCTCATCGATCTCTTTCTCGTCTTGAGACGTGTCCGTTTCAAATAGCAACGTTTTTATCGGACTTGGGATTATAGAACTCGATATCTGAAACGAGAACATTCCCACAGATCGACTCGTTTTCATCCCTGGACGTACAGACACAGCAAGAATCCGATTATTATTACCAGAGCGACAACACAAGTGATTGTCGGAACTCGATCTTCGTATACCACCGCCTTTCACGACGAGATCTTGCCCGGACAACGATCTACGGAGGCCAATATGTTCTCTTAAAACGTCATTTGCTGCCGCTGGAGATGTAGACGCCATAGCCGTATTAAACGCCATTCTTTATGAACAAAACGTCTCCAACTATAGCAAACAAGATAAGACAAATATAATCCTAATTGTTAAACACAAACAAACAGAGCATCTTAAAAGAAAACTAAAGAAGAAAAATAAAACAATGTCAATCAGTCTTAACTCTTCTTACTAATTTTTTGTTTTTTCATCAACAAAAGTAGTAAAAAATCTTATACTATATTTCATACTATTTTTACATATGCAGAACATAATAATGAACCGTTTGATAGGCTAAAAAGGTAAGAAACGTTTTAATTCTTTTGACTAGGGTCAAATGTTGGCATAGTAGGAATGTGTTATGGATCGATTTTAGGCAATTAGCCAGCTATTAAGGAAATAACGTATTAAATTCACCTACGAGCCAGCTAACAACCCTTTAGCTATGTGTGTGGGGTTCGAATCTTAATAGTTGGACTGGGTCCGTCGTACAGAAGTGCTTCCACGTGCGCCACGTACGATGTGCTCATCTTATTAACATCTTTTCGCTTCGTTAAAAGCAAAAGAAAGTTTTGTCTAACATTTTTTCTAATTCAAATAAGCATAACTCTAATTTCTTCTTCTATTGATTTTTTTTTCTTGCTCGTTATGATAAATTCCTATGAACTAACATTACATGGAATCAGTTTTCGTATATTATAGCAGGAAAAAAAAAAACAAATTCAATAGAAGAAAAAGAGACAAAAATATTGAAATTTTGAAAAAACAAAACAAAACAAACAAAAGCATATGATAGTTCATTAAAAAACGGAGAGTTTATGGATATTCACGAGAATAATTTGGAAGAAACAAAACAGAGATTGTTAAACAATGAGTCTCGAGATGCGTTACCTTATTTCTGAGTGTTGATAACAATGGAGGATCAAAAATAGCTTTGTTTAACCGTTGGATCAGCCGGAGATCATGATCATCGTCAGACCATGCTTTGAACGATAACAAAAGTCGAATACCAGATCCTTTTAATAACAAACGATCGAGGCGGAGATTCCAACAATGGCAAAGAAATGGAGATTTGAATACGTATGATGAATCTTAAACGGGAAGGTTACAAAGAGTCAGACCAGATTCTGAAACTTGTTCGTGTTTCTGTAAAAAGATTCATGAATCTCTCTCTCTCTCTTTCACAGATGTAGATGCAAGCCAGATTAATATATACGTGAAATGAAAGAAGAGAGAGAATCAAGTCACGTGGATGGAGAGAAGGAGAAGCTAATTAAGGACATAAATGCCCTCGTCGTGGTCACAGACTCAAAGATCGGCAAAACCGTAGTGGTAGTTGGAGAGTAGTTAGGTCTTCTTTTGCTTAATTAGCGATTTTTTTTTGGTAAATGTCGTTATGAAAAAATAAATTTGTCGTTCTAATTTTGTATTTGTATCCACAAGTTTGCTAGGATTCTTCACAATTTTAGTCAAACCCCATAAATCTAACAAAATCGATTTGCGCTGGAGTGTTGAAATAAATAACGTAACGACAATGCGAGTGTGTCGTCTAATAAAAACGTAGAGGCTAAGGGTATTTCCGTCATATTACGTGGGAAGCGTGTGTGTGAGATGAAAATATCTAATTGACCACGGAGGAGAACAAGGGTAAAAGAGTAATTACAAAGCTAAGAAGTAAAACGACCACGAGGAGCCAAATGTTCGGTTGCATGAAGCAAAGACCGTCAGTAACCTCCACATATCGTCCCCCAGGTGGTGGCAGCCGCCTTTTAGTTTCCGCCGGTTTTCAAAAATTTGTAAAATTGTTTTTATTACCTTCCAAATTTTGGGGTTAATGTTCTGCAACTTGCCACTTGTCACAAGAAACCTCCGTTTCATTCTTGTCATGGGCTTCTTATTAGATAATGGGCTTTTATTTCTCCAAAACATTCGAAATGTAAAAAGAAAGCCGATCATTTAACTGGCCCATAATATGGAGGCAAATGGTTAACAAAAAGATTCGAAGTATACATGATGATGATATATGTATTATGTCACACTCAATTAAATTTTGTTATCTATAATTAAGGTAATACTATAATACAAGATAGTTGTATCTGAAAGAGGAAGACTCTAGATTGGAACCTTGAAGCTGATAACGACAAAATTATAAAGCTTTTTTTCAAAAAGCTAAAACAGTCAACAATCGTAAAACATAATTAATTTGAAAGAAAGTTAAGTTAAACTGCTGATTATGAACCTTAGAAAGTTTTCTGATAATGATGTGTAATTAATAAGATCAGTAATGCAGTGGTAGAGACTATCAAAGTCTCTCAAAATATGTTATTTTAATACACAAAATTTCGTTTAATTATTTATTTAAATTTTAAGGTGCAAAAGTAGAAAAAAATTCTCGATTCCACTAATTAAACACAAATCGTAATTCATGTAACAAAAAGAAACCATCATCTTTTTCACTACACTAATTAAACCATTTTCAACTCTAAACCACGAAAAAAAAAAAAAAGCTGACATCACACAGACTAAAAAAATGGACCATAATTTTGATTTTGTGAACATAGAAAAATAAAAGATAATGGGCCAACATGAACACACTGACCTAACTCACCCAGACTAAAAAAATGGACCATAATTTTGATTTTGTGAAGATTTGTTTCACCAACAACAATATCAATTTTTCAAAAATGTAAATATATTAAAACATAATTTAAAAAATGGATTTAAAATAAAAATTCGAGGGAATATGAAGGCTGACGCTAATAAACCCCTCTGCAACTTGAAACCCATCCTTATCTCTCTCTCTTCTCTTCTCTTCTTCAATTCAATTTTCTGGAATCATCGAATCTTTCCATATTTCTTTTAAGATTCCTTTTAACATAATCAAAGCATTTAACAATAAACGAAACAAATTGGATCTGAAAAATTATGAACTCGACGATGGATGCTGGAGTTGGAGGCGGTGGTGCGGCGGAGGAGTTTCTGCAGATTCACAGGCACGATTCCAAGGAGAATCAGTGTTCCTCCGTCCTCGTTAAGCATATCCAAGCGCCTGTTCATCTCGTAAGTCTCTCTGCTTCTGTCACCGAATCGGTTTATTGGAGCTCCAAGTAGTCTCTTTGATTTGAGATTGATGATCGTTTTTTTCGTGCAAATTGTTCTGCTATTATGGAATATAGAAGCTTGATTCGTGGATTTGGTTTGAATTTTCATGTGGTTAGGTTTGGTCTCTGGTGAGGAGATTTGATCAGCCACACAAGTACAAGCCGTTTGTGAGTAGGTGTGTGATGAAAGGTGATGTTGGAATTGGCTGTGTTCGTGAGGTTGACGTTAAATCTGGCCTCCCAGCTACCACTAGCACCGAAAGATTGGAGCTTTTGGACGACACTGACCACATTCTTGGTATCAAAATCCTTGGTGGTGATCACAGGCTTAAGGTTTTTCCCCTTTTCAGAAGCTCTATAACCAAATTGTTCCCTAGTAGTATGTTTCAATGTTCTAACTGGATTCATTTGTTGGTCTTGCAGAACTACTCATCAGTTGTTACAGTTCATCCAGAGATAATAGATGGAAGAGCTGGCACAATGGTGATTGAGTCATTCGTGGTGGATGTACCACAAGGGAACACCAGCGACGAGACTTGTTACTTCGTGGAAGCTCTTATACGATGCAATCTCAAATCTCTGTCCAATGTTTGCGAGAGAATGGCTGCTCAGGACAGGATATAAGTTCTCGTGATGATTGCTACTAAGTTTTCTTCTTCCTCAAACCGTAAGTTCGTAAAGCAACATTGGTTAAGTTCGTAAAGCAACATTGGTTATTATGTGACTACTGCCTTTTTGGCTTCTTTGTCTTTGGTCCTCTTCTTCCGTTGAATGTATATGTACAGTCAAAGGGTCGTGCATACTACCATTGAGTGTGGCCAAGTTACTCCCTTAGGACATCTTCATGACTGATTCCCCCATGTGAGTGTGGTTGTGTAAGCTATAAACAGTAGCTGTAATTTACTAGGAATGTATCACGTATGTAACTTTATCACTGAGTCATGTTTATCTACCTGTTAAGATTTTCTACCAAAAAGTGCCATGTTAACGTACTTGTTAGGAATATGGCCACCTTTTAAACCCCATTCATGACACCATATGTTAAGAAAAAGAAAAAAAGAAAACAAAAATACAAGGTATTTAGATGATTTTGTATTTGTGACTTTGTCCCTTTTCTTTGTAGAAATTAAGTAGTTGAAATAAATAATCTTAACATAGTAGTACTATTACTGGTAACATCTACTTAATTATCATTGTATGCAATTTGAAAATAACAAACACCTAACACAGTACTATCATCATCGATTCATCATAAATAATTTGTCGATGACAAACAGAGTCCTGCTTCGAACAATAAATGGAATTTGAAGGTGACATCTTTTCTAATCAATGTGACCATCTATTAAGTATCCACTTGATAATTTTATTAGAAGAATATAGAAAAATATGAGACAATAACTAGAGTCTGCCAATGTGATGGTCCAGTCTGTCCGAGGATTTAACTTTCCACCTTCCTTCTATTTTTTTCTCACGTACAAGGAAGATATTAATTATAGTTTCGATCGACCGGTAGGTTTCTTCTTTATATACATGTCTCGGACAACTTGATAACGAGCAACCACAAGTTGATTTTCCGACATGCCGGAGATGGATACACGCCGGTGGAATCAGAGAAAAACAACCTATGCGTCTTGTTCACAAGGTTTACGTTTTTCTCTTTTTACTTGTTTGTTCCTTCTCTATGTTCGAAGCTTAATTTATCCGTTGTTGTTGGTAGAGGTGACTAGTATTGAGTGGAAAGTTGTGACTATGTCAGAAGAAGAAGAAGATCTCATTTTTCGGATGTACAAACTTGTCGGTGATAGGTTCGATTCCGACCTATTCAAATTCTGTGTATTTTGATCTACTCACTGTTTCACTGTTTTCTCATTCAAAGACTAATTTCGTAGTCTACTGCAATATAAAACACGTATCGAGTAGGTGGCCATTGATTGCCGGCAGGATCCCGGGGCGTACGCCGGAGGTGATTGAGAGGTACTGGCTTATGAAACACGGCTTCTTCTTCGCAAACTGACGAAGATAGCTTGTTGTTTAGTTAATAAAACTGAAGTTTGTATTTCTATATCTCCCTCGTCCTTAATTATATGGAGGAAGAAAAATAAAAAACATTATAGTTTAATCACCATTTCGAAGAAGTATAAAATTAGTAGAAGGTTGGTTATTATGACACATAATGTTACGAGACGTACGTGTTAGATCTGATGGTTTATGAAAAATATTTTCAAAATTTACTATAACAAGGTTTATATTGAAACCACAAATTATAGGTTTGGAAAGAAACCCTAATTCGCTTGAAAACAAACTATTGAAACTAAATTTTGTGATATTTTGGATTTTTAGGGTTTGTGTAAAATCTAAAAAAGAGTTTTAAAGTTATAGTCTCTCTGTTTTACATTTTTTTTTCTCAAAAACCAAATCTAAAGTTTTATAAATTATGCATACAAATTACAACAACAAAAGAAAAACAAATCAAAAACATCAAAAGATTGATTGAATTTCTCAATAAAATCATTAAATTAGTCGATTAGTTTTATGAAGACGACAAGATTAAACAAACGTAAACAACTTGAAACACATTGGCGATTTCTAGTATGTCACATAAATATTGAAAATTTTGAGTAACAAAATAGTTAAGACATTTGAGTTGCACATGTTTTTGTTGAATAGTCATGAAATGTAAAAAATGATAATCTTATACATTAAAGATTTTTCATTTTTGTGTTATATTCATCATTTAAAATTAAACGGAAAGAATCTTGAGGGCTTATAAGAAAATAGGGAGTACTAAAAGTAGTTGAATCATATTTTTTTTATTGACGTAAAAACATAAATAAATGATACACTGTTCATTGCTACAATTTGCATTTTCTTGAGGTGCTTGCTTACAAGAAAAGAGACCTTAGAGATTAAAAAATTAATTACATGTTATGGGCTCTTTGTGAAGCCCAATAGTCAGCGAATTAGCAATTTTATACACACTATTTGCATATAGCTATCATAAAATTCATGTCTAATTATTTTGGGTTTAATGTCTGTCTTAAGTATATTCCATAAGTATATTCCAACTGCTTTCACTTGTATTTTTCGAAGAGTAAAAAGATTCCTTAACAACGAGTGCAAATGTAGCAAGGCATAAATTCCGATAATTCCAGTGACCAGTAGTATCATTTTATTTATTTATTATACATATAAAAAATTTGTATAATCACATCATATTCTGACAAACTCATATTTCACAAAACGACGCTGAAAAGACTGACAACTTTACTTCAGTATAAAGAGACGAAACTAAATGAACATACGGTGGTGATGTTTCCCCACGCCCACGTGTCATTGGGCTACTCGATTGCAATTATCGTGACCGCTTTAATTTGGAACCTTTGGATACGAACAAATTTCAACAGAAATAAGATATACATAAATGAAAGTTATGTATTTTAACAATGGTCCGTCAAGATTTAGATACAGTCTACATCGAAATTAATCGTAACTGGTTATGATTGGTAATTCTTACGATGTAGATCTGAAATCATTTAGTTATGTGGATTAGTCCACATTGATAAAATGATAAATACTAATACACATATACGGACTCTTTCTTAAAAAATCGATAGATAAAAGGAGAGAGACTATAGGACCCACGCGGCTCTTCCTATTTTTCTAACTACAAAAAAGAAAGATGCAAGTTCATGTGGGTCCTATAGACTAGAGAATCGATAATCTTCGTCTTCGCGGAAACTTCCTCATTTTCTACAAATCATTTATACATTCTTGTATAATCACTGCCGTGTTATCTCTACTCCCATAGGCTTCGTTAGAGATTTGGAGTTAGGGATAAAAACTTTAAAAGGAGAGACATATATGAATTACTAATCTACGTACATACACAAGTACGATACATGTTCTTTTAGTTTTGAAACCGTAATCGTTGCTGAGATAGTCCATCCTATAATTTAGAACGTAAAGTAACTGCATCTATAAAAGTGTGGATTAGTTTGCCACTTGCGTTGATATATTTGTCTAATTCTTTAAAATAAGAGACCGTTAATTTGCTACATTTTATCATTATTCCCCTAAAAAGCTAATACTGTTTCCATTGATACATTAATTTCTTTCGACATTGATGTGCGACATACCTTAATCTATATAACCTCGCTTAAAATCTATGTTAATCAATTTTCTAACAGCTGGAACACATTGGTTTTATTTCTATTTAAACCTTTTTAGTTAATTCAGAACACAAAAAGTTTATAACGATCATCTATTGCTTTTATATAAGAAACAGCTCGTTTATCATGGATCTATTTAGTGCAAATTAAACGCTTATTGAGTAACAAAAGATATAAGTTGTGAAATAGTTATTTACCCATAAAGCTGCTGATTTTCAAGATTATTTTTTACTCTCTCTGTTTCACAAAGAGTGGCATTCTACACTTTTACACATATATTAAGAAAACTATTAAAATTTCTATTATACCCTTTCTCAATACATTAAACAAAATTATCTCTCTTATTAATACATTAAATAAAGAAGGTCAAAATTAGACTTTTATTTAAAATTTTGCATTGAAAATACAAAACGACACTTTTTTTGAAACAAAAATAAAACCTTTAAACGACACTCTTTGTGAAACGGAAGGAGTATCTCTCACATAAAAAAAAAAAGAAAACCATGTGCATGTCATGTAGATGCCATGCCACTTCTTGGACATTAATTGTACTTATTTTATCTAATCTCCATCTTTAAATAATGCTACCATCAATTTATACCAAAGTTAATTAAGTTCCACCAGCATTGATTAGTAACACCTAAGCATTCTGTTTAAGAACAATAAAAATAAGACAAAAAAAAACTAGTATAACGACATGATTAGACGAGATTATCGATTCTCATAACTCATCGGTACATATAACAATATCAATCGATATTAAAATTAGATAGTAAAATGATTCTAGATCACACGATACTATCCGTCACTATCAGTTCAACGTATGAACGAGAAAGCCAATATCAGACTCTAATTCTTCATATACTTTTGAGAGTATATACAAATTCATAATTTACCCCACAAGTGATAAAGTTTTTTGAGGTGAGGAGATCAACCATTAAAAGGGAATTTTAACGAACGAACCACCATATGTGAAAATGGAGAAATATATATAATGAGATTTGAGATAAGACAAGAGATCAAATTATAGTAGATGACATCACGAATCTTACGTCATCGAAACCATTCGACGGGATCTTAATTATAACGCGGATAAGAATTTGAAATATTCTTGGCCTTAACTTATTTAATACTAGTAAATACTAGTAAATATCTCTATAACGATAAGTCGATAATAACAGGTTTGAAGAAGTCAAATAAAAAGAACAAAGAACACATAAATAACTCTATCAAAACAGAAAGAAAGTAATGAAAATCCATGTCACCCTTTGTCAATTTCTTCCCAACTTCATTTCTTTTTCCCCACACCTTCTTGCCTAAGCTTTACCGATTAAAAAAATAAACACAAACACACAAGAAAAAATTCAGAGACACACATCATATATATATATATACATTACACATAGTCAAAGACGAAGCTCATATCTCATAAAACTCACCAAAGCTTCACTGATATGGTAATGAAGGAAGAGATGTTAATGGAAGAAAAGCTTGTGATCAACGAGCTGGAGCAAGGGAAAGAGTTAGCGAATCAGTTGATGAACAATTTGGAATGCCCTTCTTCTAAAGAATTAGACATGAGTTTGATCTCTGGAATCCTCCGTTCTTACGAAAATGCAATTGTTATGTTGAGTCTTGATCAGAAAACTCTTAAGAGATCAAGCCCTGGGAGACTTGATCAGAGTAACAAGAAGAGGTAAAATTAAAGAGAGATCATTAAACTGTGTTTATGAGTTTTTCTGAAATTTTTCTGATTCTCTTTTCTTGTTGGATTCTTGATATGCAGAAGAACATCGGAGAAGAAGATGTCGGAGAAAGTTAAGATTTGTGTTGGAACAGGACAAGAAGGAACTTCTCTTGATGATGGTTATTGCTGGAGAAAATATGGCCAGAAAGATATTCATGGATCCAAGAACCCTAGGTAAATATATCATTACACTAATCAACTTTCTAAACATTACAAAATTCTCGATTTTTTGTTTTTGCCAAATTTTGAAAATAAATTTACTCTGTTTTGTTAATACAGAGGATATTATAGATGTACACATCGATTCACACGAGGTTGTTTAGCGGTGAAGCAAGTCCAAAAATCAGATGCAGATCCTTCGTGTTACGAAGTCAAGTATTTAGAGAGTCACACATGTAACGCCAATCTATCAACCACCAAATTCTCTGTTTCTGTGCCTAAAGAAGAACCAAAAAGTGTACATGTTACTGAGAAAGATATTTTCGATGACTTGGAAAACAAGAAAGATATTTTCAGAACGTTTTCGTTTTCGTATCCCGAAACAGAGAATATATCCGAGTGGAAAAATCTGATGGACGATCTGTCTCCTACAACAACATCTGAATCTGAAATCACCAACGAGTTGTTATATGCCTCTTCTTCTCCTGTTTCTGTCGCGAATTCGCCGACGGCTGATTCATGTTTCTCTTCTTTGGAAAGTATTCTCGATTTAAGTCATGTTTGGTCTTTGATGTAATAAATAGCTCTCATTTTGTTCTAGTAGAATTTTTAGTAGGTGGAAATATAACTTCAGCCGGAAGGATGTGAGTTTTTCAGTCTTTTTCTTCAAAAAATTCGAATAAGATTGTTGAACGCGCCACGTGATAATGTGGTTTAGGTATTCAGGTAATTGTAACTACATATATATATATATGTCAAATAACAGTAAATATATATGAATCTTTTTGCAAATATTACCAATCTTTTCATTTTCTGTGCCATCAATGAATCCATTCGACACTAATCTTTTTATGATGGAGTATAAAATGGAAATATTGGTGTTATTTTATTAATATCATTCTCATAAATATATTTTTTTTAATTATTATCTAATGTGATGATTTATCTAAATAAACAAACTATTTTCTGATTTAATCAATTCAATAATAACACTAAGGATTTTGAGTTATTCTGGGATTGACACCTCATTAAAATCGTCAACCAATCAAAACATTTCGATTAATACAGCTCAATATTTCTCAGCCAATAAAATTTCTTCCCCGTTCCACATCACTTTTTTGTTTCTTAATCTGTTGAAAAAAATAAATGGCAGAAGCCTAAAGTTTTATAGCCCACACTGGTTAGCTATTACATAGGAATCTAATTGAATCCATAATTAAAAGCGCTTTTAGGTAAAGTAGTCCAAATCGTAGAAATATAAATAGGTGAAGAAATTGTTGTCGTTCATTGAAGAGAAAACCAAAGCTGCATAATCTTACTCGCAAACCCGGATTCGATCGAAAATCCGAGATTATGTTTTTGACCTGATGATTCTGGAGATCGAATACGGAGAACTGTGGGAACTCCGGTGAAGTATATTGTTCCTTACCCTCCACTTCACTTTCTCCTTCTTTTCTCCTCAGAATCCCGAGCCGCTCTCCTTTGTTTATTTTACAGATGTTAAAAGCGTAGAAAACAAAATCTCTGAGGAAGATGAAGAAGAGGATTTTGATCAGAGGAAGCTCCAAACAGACCCAACGACGTTTGTTTGATCCAACATAGCACCGTAGTCCTCCAACGGAGCGTGATGGTGGGATCGTGGCTGGATCGGGTCAGGGACAAAGTGGTGGTGGTGTGAGTGAGTAAGGTAAAGTGGAGAAGATTGTGTTTGAGATAAAATTGGAGTTTTTTTATGCATTTGTTGAGATTAAGATTATGAAGGAGTTGAGGAGTTTTACTCATTTGGGTTTGAAAGAAGACTCCTGCGATTTTGAAGGAGTTGGAAGAAGGTAAAGCATCCTGTTTTACTGATTTGGGTTTGAAAGAAGGTAAAGCATTGGTTGAGAAGACTCATGTGATTTTGAAAGCTAATTTGTCTAAATAAGAAGGTGTGAAGATCGTTGAGAAGCTGAAAGCACTTGGTGCTAAAGTTGTTTTGGACTAAAATCATCAATTTGTGTTACTTTAAAGCTTCAATTTTTCTTCTTTTGTTCCATCTATGAGCTTATGATACAAGCTGATTAAGGTGTTTCTTATAGTCATATGTTACACTTGCTCTTTTTCATTGGTCAATTATTGGATTTGAGAGATGAAAAAGGATATGATGAATTTATTCAATAAACATAATTTTTTTTCCTCGCTAGCTTTTGATTTTCTTTGAGCTTTCCACAAAACATTGTGTTGTAAAGTTCTCTCCTTTTTTGCCAAATCACCCATCATCGATTCCACAAAACTCCTTTTAAATACCTCCGCAAGTAGCGTTTTACGTTTCATTTTAAGGTTCCTGCAAAATATTAGTATTTGGATCTGAGTTTCTTAGTAATAAAATAGTATTACGCCATCAAAATTGTTAATTACTCTTTGTTTACAAAGTTAGTTTCTGCTACTGGAAAAGTATTAATCTTAATTATTATAGCTCGTTCAGGTTTTCAATCTTGGTTACTACATGCTCTGTCTTAAGCATTCATCATAATTATGTTCGAGGTTTCATAGGTTTTAAGCTCTAACAGAATTGAGTGTTGTTTTGTAGGACACTTTCAAGTTGAAAACTTGAACACACCAAATCTGCATGGACAAAGCAGAAAGCTTGTCCCGTTTCAGGGCATAAAGATGTCAAAGGTAGACTCAAAGGCTATAAGCAAGATTGGATCAATGGCCTCAGAGATGGATTTAGGTAAATTCATTTTTTTTTTTTTGAATAGGAAGTGTTGATGCTTGAGCCTTAATTTATGCAAAATATTATAGGATTTTGGCACCAATAACTTACATATTCTTTACATCCACGAGTATGGTGATTGCATTTGTAGAACAGTTTTTGTCATCGAGTTGTTTGGGAATACGTTGAATAAATGGTTTTGTTAATGAAGTGTTCTCAATTGGGTTTAATGATTTGTTCTTTTATTGTCCTGAACTCCTGATTTATGCAAGGCACAATTTGTTTTTGACATTTGAGTATGTTGTTTTTTACTTATCTTGGATCTATGTTCTTTTTAATGTCTATAGATTTTGGAGAAAATTTCACAAATGTTATTTATATTAAATAAAAAAAATTCTAAAAAAAATACCCCGCAGCATAGCGCGGGTTTCGATCCTAGTACATCTAAAAACAAAAGATTCTACTACCTCATGTACTGTCTGATTTCACCAATCGCCGGTCTGTTATAGTCACTAACTATCGGTAAATTCATTTCCTGCCAAATTCATTTATCCGATTGTTAATTTGGGTCTTTGTTCAATTCAGAGGAGATGGATTAAGGTTTTGTGTGTGTTTGGATACAGCGATAATTTGTACATTCAAATCAAATTTTGGTTGCTTTTGTTTCGTTTACATGGGGTTTACGTGGCTGTGGAATTCTTAAGATGGTTGGTGTTATGCACTGAACAAAAATCTGTAATGCCTCATGGCCAATCGTCATGCAGGAAGAGGGTCAAGGATGATACTGCCACTTTCTTTGAAAACCTGAAGGACCATATGGTTGAATTCATATAAGAGTTCTATTAAGCTCTGTACTTTTCCTTTTTAATTTTGTATTTTTTACTTTGTAATATAATTTTTTGTGTTATGATTTCATATAATTTAATAAAATATGATAATTTTAATATCAATTTGTCCAAAAAAAACCTAATAATTTATAAATTAAATATAATTAGAAATTAATAAAAACGAAATAATGTAAATAATTTGTATAAATACAATATTGTATAAATTCCCAAATACTGTACAAATACAATCTTGTATAAGATACAAAATATCTACGTATTACAAAATTATTTATATTTATAGTTTTACAAATAATTAAATATATTAATAGCAAATAATTATTGTTATCGTCTATTTAATTATTGCATACGAAAAAACGCTATATTATCAAATATCTTAATAGCAGTTACAAAAACCGCTATGTAAAGTGTTGGACCTATTATAACGGGTGCATAAATAGCGTTTACTACACTACTCTAGTATAGTAAGACAGTGGTTTTCAGATGCTAAACTACTCTAATTTCTTGTAGTGAAAACTGACAATATCATACCAATTGGGAGTTGGAATGGACTAAGAAAACCCAATAAAATAATAGACAAAGTATTTGTTATCGGTCCCGCTTTGATGAAAGATCAAATACGGTTTTTTTTACCGTATTTGAGCAGGAAGATGAGAGACTTGCTGGGCAAGGCTATCACTATCTCTTTATGGAGAAGATTGTATATATATCAATTATTACCAATTTCTTTTTCCTTGTGGAGCAACGTAAAATCTTTTTCTTTTCCCTGGTTTATATTATTTATAAGTTCGCAACTGAACCCAAGAATAGGGTTTTGTATAAATAAAGGCCATTAAAAAGAAACACGTGTGGACCAAGAAAAAAACTCCTAACAGCCATGTCTCTGCTTCTCAGCCGCCTCTCGAAGCCCTCTTCCCTGAAAACACCTGCACTCGCCGTAAGCTTCTCTTCTCTTCTCTCCTTGGTGTTCTGTAATACTCCTTCTGATGTCTGTGATTGTTACTACACAGAGACACCTCACCGCTCGTTTATTCTCTACTTCCTTTCCATGTGTTATCGCCGGTGCTCAACATTGTGGATCTACTATGAGGGATGGAGATATCGGAAATCTCAAGATATATACAAGTTTTGTTGTTGAAAAGTTTATTGTTACGGAAAAGAAGGTACCTATGAAGTTGGTGGAGGAAATGGGAACGGTAGGAGCATCCAATGGATGGGTTGCTACACTGAAGGGAGGAGTAGTGTGTCTCCAAGATGATCTAAATCCAAGTGCGTCTGATATTGATCCAAAGCGCATTTCGTTGCCTCCTCTTGTTACTCTGCCTCATTGCCAAACGCAAGTGGTAACCAATGTGGCCATGTCATCCTCTTCTCCCGAGGATGAAGACTGTGTTGTGGCTATCAAGTTCTTGGGACCTCAACTAAGCTTATGTAGGCCTGCTCGAAGCTCAGAGTGGACCAACATAAGAATCACAGACCCGGGTTTCTTCAATTCACGTGTCATGTATTCCAAGAGAGATGACATGTTCTCCATGCCGGCTTCAAGAGGCACCTACATTGGATCGTGGAATCTTGGAGAACCCGCAATGATTCAGCAATTGCGGTATCTAGATTTTCTCGAGTTGGTGCAGTCAAAGTGGGAGTTGTTGGATTCGTGTTGCAGGAGCGAACACTTGGTGGAATCAAGACCCACTGGTGAAACTTTTATTGTTAAATGGTACAGCAAGAGATACATCCCTTTTAGGGAGAGACTGGTGACACATCGTTTAATGGTATTCAAAATAGACGAGGAAGGAAACGCTGAGTTCACTACTGACATTGGAGATCTCTGCATCTTCCTCTCCGAGGCTGAACCTTTCTGTGTCCGGGCTAGCGAGTGTCAAAAAACCCCAAACCGCATCTTTTTCTTGTGTCCCGAATACTACGGAGAAGTCAGTCTGGACCACTACGAATATCGTCCGCGAGATCATTATCATCGCACTTTTCCTGTGCCTTACTTTATTTAGGGCTATTGTTATCATCCTAAATATGTTTTTTTTTCTTGTAATTTCGTTATAATAAGACCTCTGGTTTTCTATTACTGTTCATGGGTTTTCTATTACTGTTCATGGGTTTCCTCGATTCTTGGCTTAAATCTTCCAACAAATCTGAGGATTAACAAGCAAATGTTTGATAAAGAATGTGATTTTATCCAGAATTATCGATCAAACAGCTAGCTAACCTTCTTCCTTTCCTCTGTTCTTGAACCTGAATCATATCAGATTTGATGAGTATATCCAATTATTTTTTGTATAGCTACAGTAAATAGAACCTCCTTGGCTAGTCTCTGCTTATTGTTCTCTGATATCTATCCAGCTAAACGGGTCAATGTCATCAACCTCCACTGCATTTGAGTCTGCGGTCACTAGGCTATGCCTTTCCTGGAGAGATATTGCCAAGTCTTGGAACGGCTCGAGTCTGATGGAACAAGGCATGAGATATAAAAAGGCTTTAGTACACGTTCCGCATCATATGCTTTGATGATGTATTCAGAGAACTCAGCTTCATCAGGCAGCCTCATACTGACCCATTTTCCAATAAGAGACTCAGGACTAACACTGCCCCAGCTTTTGCCAAATTCAGGAACAAATTTCGAACTCTGCATTGCCTTAAAACAGAGAAAATGTAAAGACAATTGAAACTTAAAAACTCTGCGGTAATATTCTGCTGCATCATCATCATTACATTACATATCAAACTCCGGCAGCAATCAAAAGCAATTATCATCAAACCATAAAAACACCAGTCTGTTAATTTATCAGAAGAACCAAAAACAACCACATAGTAAACAAGAAAACGTAGAAAACCTATCAATTCAAAATTCCCAGGTCCAAACACATCAATCTTAAAGAAAGAAAAAAAAACATAACTTAGTAAAACCCAACAATAAGTAATTGAAAAGTGAAGCAAAGGCGATTGGTATAAAGAGCATATAAAAAATCTTTAAAATAAACACTCAATCGTAGAGGTGGGCTGTTCCGGAGTCATGGAGACCCTTGAATAAGATGATGTTTGGAGTTCGATTACGCCAGCTAGCCGTGACACATATAGCTGAAGCCTTGGAGTGGAGAGCGATGGTGAGATCTCCAATGTTACTAGTGTACTCCGCGTCTCCTTTCTCGTCTATTTTGAATACGATGAAACGCTGCGTTTCCTTTCTACGGAAGTTGCTCTTCGTGTACCACTTAACCAAAAAAGTTTTACCGGTGTCTTCAGATTCCGCCAAGTGTTCGCTCGTGCAACACGAATTCAAGAGATCCCACGCTGATTGCTCCAGCTCCGGAAACTGTAGAAACCGCAACTGCTTCACCTTGTGTTTGTGAATGTCTTTTGACTCTTCTCCAAGATTCCATGATCTAATGTAGGAGCCTCCAGAAACAGGCATGGAGAACATGTCATCTTTCTTGGAATACATGACACGGGAATTGAAGAAACCCGGGTCTGTGATTCTTATGTTGGTCCACTTTGAGCTTCGAGCAGGCCTACATAAGCTTAGTTGAGGTCCCAAGAACTTGATAGCCACAACAAAGTCTTCCTCCTCGGGGAAAAATGACGACAGGGCTACATTGGTTACAATTTGGGTTTGGCAATGAGGTAGTGTTACAAGGGGAGGCAGTGAGAGGCGTTTTCGATCTGCATCTGGCACATTTGGTTTTGGATGCTCTTGGAGGCACACTATTCCTTCCTTCAATGTAGCAACTGCTCCTTGGGATGATCCTATCGTTCCTGGATCCTCCATCAACTCATCATGAGGATATTTAAAAAACTCGATATATCCGACATCCCCATTAATCATAGTTCTGGAAACCTTTTTCGAAAAGGAAGTTGAGAAAGAACGAGCGGTGAGGTTTCTCTGCGTAGTAACAATAAAAGACATTAGAAGGAGTATTAAAGAACACGTAGCCATTGGAGAGAAGAGAAGAGAAGCTTACGACGAGTGCAGGTGTTTTCAGGAGGCGGCTGAGAAGCAGAGACATGGCTGTTGGAAGTCTTCTTTATTTTGTCCACGCTCAGCCTTAATTTATACAAAACCCTAATTCTTGGAAATAATAATACACCAGGGAAAAATAAAAAGATTTTATGTTGCTCCAACAGAAAAAGAAACTGGTAATAATTGATATTTACAATCTTCTCCATATATACATAGAGATTGCCTTGCCCAGCAAGTCTATTATCTTCCAGTTTTGGGGCTTAAAAAGCGATTGGGCTCTTATAGTCCCATAGGGCCTATTAAGTTATAGTACATATATATGTGTGTATGAATGTATGATTAAGTTAAAGGTCAGTGGTTATGGATGCATGCATTATCACATTTGTTTAGGTACTAAGCCTAAATAATGCTTCCACCTTGTGCTCTTTTTGGATTATCCTTCATGAGTTCATTTTGGTTGAACCTTTGTTAGGAGTTAGGACATATTTCTGGATTGGGTATCGTATGTTTCCTCTTTACTAAGATTCAGAAACATATTGACAAGAAGCAATATCAAAATGTGTTTACCGGTAATATTCCAAGACCTGGACCTCCCATTACTCCCCAGAATCCAGCTCTGTAATCATACCTAAAATGTTCCCAAAAACACATTAACAGTTATGAAGAAGATGATCAATAAAAAAAAGCGGAATCGAATTCGCAATATTTACCAGTAGTTTCCTGGCTGAATGACTCCGGCTTGCTTCTCTGCTTTTCTCAGCAGACGTTCTGTTAAAGGATGTCCATTTATCGAAACCTTGCTTTTGTTCCCTTCATCATTCTGAATAGATTTTGTCAGATCCTTGAAGCTTTTCTTCACAATGCTTGCGAATCCGCTCTTCTTGGCTCTTTGCTGCTGATCTTTAGATACTCCACTGTTACGATGAGAGTAGTCGTTGAAGTTAACTTCCATCTCACTTGCAAGTGAAACCTCTTTTATGGAGGAGTTCTGTCTCATAGCTGTCGTCTTGCTCAGTGTGACCTTGTCGTGTTCTGAACGAGAGCTACGGCTGCCTGCTCCAGACCGGTCGTGATTGATCGAAGAGTAATCAACAAAGTTATCTTGAAGAGGCGAATCTTGAGCTTGAGCTAGTGGCTTAGCTGTTAGACTGTCTGAGCTTAGCTCGCCCTTGGAAAGGCTGGCGAAATGAGAATGAACGTGTTGCATATCTTGAGACTTGTCTGAAATCAATCCCGGAAGATCTCTTGGTTCATCATCCAACGAATGAAACACATAACCAAGAAGATCATAGTCATCAGAAACCTGAATTAGAACTCAAACATAAATGAACAAAATCTACTATAAAGGAAGAAGTAAAATACCACGGAATGCTGTGCGATTTTCTGAAGCCGGAGAGTAATCTCAGTTATGACTCCTAAAGTCCCCTCACTCCCAATCATCAAGCGAGTCAAATCGTATCTGAGACACCATTCCGACAAGTATCAAGCATTAACTCAAATGATATGTAATCAAACAACTGGAAGCATACCATTCGTTTTTCATTTATAGTTTATATGGGGGAGAAAAAAGAAATCCAAACAAAGAACCAAGAAAATAGTTAAAGACTGAAGCCAAACCCTGCAGCACTCTTTCTGGCACGTGAAGCTGTCTTCACAACATCTGCATTAGGAAGAACCACCTGAGAAGGAGCATAGCATAAAATTTATAACAGTGGGGAATGGGGAATGAATCAGTGGAAGAAACAACAAACCTTAAGGCTTATAACATTGTCACGCATAGTTCCATACCAACAAGCTAGTAGCAGAATTATCATAGCCAACCGGATTAAAGCAGAATTATCAGAAAATAAGATCAATTAATCTGAAAATGTGTTCCAAATAAAAGAATTAATATGAAAGCTATGATCTGAGAGATTAAGGTACTGCCTGAGAGATTAATCTGAGACATGCCTGTAAAAACGTAGCAGGTTCATGGAAAGAAACGCCAAGTTTGTTGTTAATTGGATGACACCAAAAAGACATGTTTAAAAATGAAAATCAAGGACGCTGATGTCAGACACAGAAGATTAGCACATACCTTCATTAATGGCATGTCAATGCATACAGCTCCTTTCGGAGCCAGGGGGTATGATGACCCTCAATCGATGTTGCCCCACTACAGGAACCTAACCAAAAAGCAAAGGATATATCAGTCCACCAGGAAGGTATATATGCCAAGTAATAAATATAGCCTGTTGGCCAAGACTAGATTGGAAAAGACTGAGCACTGAACCTTAAATTCATTGCAGGGTTAAGAATCTTGGAGACTTCTTCTTCAGACCTAAACATATATAAGAGAGGATGAAGATCAATGCCTATTTTGTTTTTTTGGCTTATTCAACGACGAAGCAGAAAAGAATAACAGAGCGAATAGAAGTCACTAAACAATGAAATGGAAATATGCAGACAGAAGAAAAGTGTGCAAATACATGAGAAGCAAGGAATTGTTCAAAAGAAGAAGAAGAGAGGAACAAAGGCAGACCTCGAGGATTGTGTTCAATAGAGTAATAAGCTCCTTAAGGGACTTGTTTGTTGTATTCATTCCCCTTTTAACTAGAGCTTCAGTGCTACCTCTTCCGTCAACAGTTATATATATGCAGAGAGCTCGACCACCAATGGGAGCAGAGAGCTCGAGCACCAAGTTGGGAGTCAGTCACCGGTTGACTTTGGGGGTCGAGTGGAGCTGAAGACAAGGCCGGCGAAAAGAGAGCCATGGATTGAGAATGGAGAGAAGCTGTCACGTGGTTCTTGGTGGATCTCGACTTCGCGGTCGGAGGTGCTTGAGGACGGCTTTGAATCCGGCAAGCTTTCTCCGATGGCTTCTCATGGTCGGTTCTCCTTCACGTAGAGCTATGTGGAATTCAACTGAGAATTTGAGCGTCGGAGGACGATCTCCACATATACGGGCGTATCGGAATCTGATCGGTGGTTTTAGGTCCGTTTCCAATGGAATCGATGAGGTATTTGGTCAGAATTTCTTTTTCGAATTTAAAGATTAAGCATCCAAATTTGTGATAAGTTATGCTTATTTGATGATTCAATTTTGTATAAATTTTTAGATTGTGACACAATCTTCAAGCCAATCTCTATTTTCTCTCTTCTTACATCAGAAAACACAATTACAGGATCAGATTTCCAGATTGAACCAGGAGAATGGCTCATTGAAACAAAATCTGACCTCAAAGAGGCTAGAACCGACATTTCCAGGGGATCATCAAACATCATCAACGCTATCAAGGTATCTTTGTTTGTTTCATCTCTGTGCCATTGATTGTATGCGCACTAGGCATATTATCTTAGGGAGGATGCAATTACTTAAGAGCTGTTATGTGTCTTATTGGTTATATGCTTAGTTTATTAGTGGGATTTACTAGGATAGAAAACGTATCATGAGATCAAATATAATGTCAAGATTCAAGGAAGCTGTATATTAAGAAAGTTTTGTCAACATCACTATCTCAGATTCGTTTATTTGTTGATTTTGCTTAGAGATGCCTTCTTGCATGAAGGTCTTAAACTATTGAATTAATCTGTCATCTTCTCCAGGGAAACAATGATCAGTTACCCAATAATAGGCTACACAAATCTGTGTCACATTTAAAAAGTCCAAATCTTATGTCCAATGGAAAAGGGAAGGATACCGATTCTTCTATAAAGGAAAAAGTAACACTAACTGTTTATTTACCATTAACTTAAGATAATAGCTTTGTGGTCTTGACTTTGGTTGGTTTGTAGGATACATACTTCTGAGTTTCTGAATTTCTTTAGGTACATCTTGTAATACATAAGTAACCATTTTCAGCACTAGTATAGGGTGCCTTTTATTGCTCTGCAATGTTCTCGTTTGCTAAATACCAAGTTATAAGCGATACTCTGGATTTCCTTTTAGGACCTTGCAGATATGCTAGAAGATAGAAGCAAATCAATGGCAGCTGTTCAAGCTACGGAGCTTGCAAAAGAACACCTTTTGGAAAAGGAGTGAATCTTTCAAGGAGGAACTCGAGTCTCTGAGGTTAGATAAGAACAAAGTAAGTCTTTGAGTTAGAAAAGACACCTTTTTTATGTATTCAGAGAGGAATCACCATCTTTTAAGTTACAATTTTCTTATTTTCTGTATTTCATCTGTTTGCAGACCTCCATGGAAATTAGCCAAATGCGTAGTGAATTGGATGCAAAATTACTTGAATTCAAACACTTGCAGATGAAGTTGAATGGTCGGGACAGCCATGGAACATCTAAAAGAAGGAAAACAACGAGCTTAAGGTTTATTGTGTTCCATACTGCTGAAAACATTTGTCATTCTCTAGCTGTGTGCATTTCTACTTTGACGTTTGGAATCTGAATTGCTTTTTCATCACTTGATAGTTGAAACGAAGTGAGTTAGAAGCTGCTTTAGAAGAGAGCAGGAAACCAACCAGTAGCAAAGTATTACCAGACGCCATTCGAGTCTCTGAGTAGGCATCCTAGTGTGGACAAGGTTCTTTATACCAGAAGGGACTTTATTTTAAACGCATTTTGCATTTGCTTTCATTAAACGTGGAGAAACTTTTATCCTTATGCAATTTCCATATTTATCTAGCAGAAGCCTGAAATCTTTCCTGGGAAAAAAGAAATGGAGCAATCCTTGCAGAGGTTGGAAACATATTTGAAGGAAACACGACGAGAAAGGGATAAGGCACGACAAGAACTAATACGGCTCAAACAACACTTGCTAGAAAAGGTTAGCTTTTGTAAAAGCTATTTTCCTTCTTGGTGCATTATTGCGAAATCATGGTTCCATCTGTTGAAACATCATATGAGCTTTTAGATCATTATTATGCAAATTTTCTCGTTTTCTAGCCAACTCCTAGGATTTGTTACGAAATCGTTCCTAACAAGATCATTGTTAACTGAGACAGGTAGAGGCGGCATCCGGCTGATGATACCAGGCATCTCCTTCATGCTGCAGTAATGATAATAAGAGTATAGTAAATCAAGCTTTCATAGACGAGAAGGAGAAAGACGACAGAGGAAATGTATCATTAGTGATTCAACATGCTATTAGATCCACATACTCATCCTCAACAACACAATGTAGTACTGATCCAACAAAGAAACGCCGTCATAGAATCAACAGAACCAAGTCTCACTAATGGAGATATTGTTGTGTTTCTCTTCTAACTTTGGATTCTTTATGTTACAGTCTTTTGCGGATCTATGGGTTGATTTCTTACTCAAAGACGCAGAAGAGCGGGAGAGAAGAGAAGAAGGAGAAGCAGCAGCGACTAAAGCCAAGCAAGATTCCGAGAAGACAAGACAAGACGCTGCTTTGTCTGATTCAGAGTTCTCGACAGTGCCCCTCAGATCATTCGATAGTAATCAAAGGCTCTCGAGACCACTTCCTTAAAAAAGAAGGTACACAGATACATACTTACATTGAAAATAAGAATTCGAATATCTGTTGAGTCTTGTGTTGTAATTATGATCTCATACCTTTGTTTGTTGGTTAATATTCAAATGGAAAAGGAATGTTACAACTTTGTTCTTTTCTTTTGTTGATGATTTCTTGTGGGAGAATTTGAATGAAAATCAAAAGAAAAAGTTACATGAGCTAGAAATTCTTCGGTAAGTAAGTGGATCCGAAGAATCTATCATCGTCGGAATCGATTACTACGCCGGACAGTCCTTCAATGATTCTTCTCATTCCGGTTAGCCTTCTTCCTTTTCCTCTTGCGAGTCTCTGAGATTAGGGTATCGTGTAGATGTGCTTTTTGGTCTCCGTAATTTGGATTCAGGGAACTTATGCTTTAAAATTGGATAATTGTGTTTTCTGTTTGGGATATAAATTTGGGACAGTTGTTCAATGATTCTTCTCATTCCAGTTAGGATTCTTCCTTTCCTCTTGCTCGAGTTGAGATTTGCCCGTATGTTACTGTCTAATCATTTTCAGAATTTATTGTGTATCGTTTCCGATTATTTGGAATAATTCAGTAGACTAATGATATCAAGCAGACAATAAGCAGGTTTAATTAAATCCTAAGGTTTCTTTCGTCATCCTAATCAAATCCTAAGGTTTTGTTATCACAAGGAATGTTGTTCTGGATGATTTTTCCTTAATGTATCCTAGTCTAGATGATTCACTAAATTTGAAGAACCTTGTGTTTTCAGATGCTTGTCTTGCATATTTAGCTACACAAGGTAAGGCACCAACATTTTTCTCCACTGTTGATATTATTTTCTGTGATTGCTTAGGATGTACTGGATGGTCTTCCTTCTTTGGTCATGTTCTTAGTGTTTCTTTTGCTTTTCCAACTGTTGCCAGTTAATGATAATGTGAAGGATCCTGATTCATCTTTGAAGGAATCACTGAAGTAAGTGTGATGCCTAAGAAATAAATAACTCCTTATGTGTTTCCCTCTTAGTTGTACATTAGCAAGTTTTCTTGTGATTTAGGGGCAAACTCATTGACACAAGTGCTCCAAAGGCGTCAGAGCTTTCCAATGGTTATTTCCTATCCTTTACTAGTGTGATTTTGATTGTCGGTGAGTTTCATTAGTCACTGGTATATGATGTTGGACTTTGTTGCATGCAGAAGATGAATATGCAACACTAGAGACGGATTGAACTTCAGGGCCTTCATTAACATGGCTAAAAGAAGAATATGATAGTCTTCCGTCTGTCATCAAGTCTCTAGCCTCGTGGGAGATATGAAAATTATCCAAATTCTTGTATTATGTCAAATGTTCTTCTTCTTAGCTAAAATTTAAGAACATATCCTAGAATCATATTAAGAATTGAACCAATAAATGCTTAACTCGAGAGCGATGAAAATTTCATCTTTCCTATAGTCTCAACTTTTTGGATAAATCCCTGCCATCAAAGTCATAACCTGTGTAAAACTGGTAAATTGATATCCCCTGCAAGTCACAACTTGCTGGCTGCCCACTTGCTTTCCGCTCTTTTAACTTTCAGAACCACTAACACAAGGTTTAAGTTAGTTTGCCAGAACTCTATCTGTGATCAAATCTTTGTTCATAATTTGATTTGCCTCTCTCACTGCCTTGTTCATTCTGTCAAAATGACATCCTCCCTGACCTTACTTTGGTTCTTCATAGCACATCTTATTGTTCTCCATTTATGAAACACGATTCTGGTGCAATGAGATTACCACAAGTATTGGGATCCATTCTACCTGATTGATGCCGAAGATAAAGCTATGTTTTTGCAAGGCTTGGAGAAAAAAGTTGGGATCAAATCGCTTTTTCTTGCATATTCAGATTCCTACTTGCATTGTTCAGAATCACAATCTCATCTTAAGTTGGGTTTTGTTTGTTTTAACCAGCCATGAGGACTAAACCGAAGATAAGCAGAGTTTCATTGGAACAGAGTGCTATAGTAGTCCTAACCAAAGCAAACATTCTCATAACCTTAAATCGACACAAAATTAAAACTCCATAATTGTTTTAGATTATCATAAAACTTCAAACAAGTAGTATTTAAGTCTAATTTAAACTGAACAATATAGTAATCAAAACATAACTCTTAAGGAAATTTGAATGGAGGACAAAAGTCCTTCCTCTCGCCTTTCAAAATCCATCCCTTGTAGCCAATGCAAATCAACGTGTAGCTGTAATCATCAAGCTCGTCTTCATCGAGTTTGACCTCTTGTCCAAGCAGAGCATAGTTGTTCGCCGTTTTCGTCGCATCCTCAAAACTATTGAAAGTTGTGAAACCAAAGTTTCCAAACACAACACGGACAACCTAAACAACAACACAACAACAATCTATGATGAAGTTTAAGACTTAAGAGGTTGATAATATAAAGAGTATATAGACTGAAAATTACCTTAACCACCTCAAGTTTTTTTGAGATGAGATTCGAAGAGAGACTTTTGATCATGAAGACTTGTTTGAAGTCGACAGACTGACTCTCCCTTCTTGAGCTTTTCATAAGCATCCATCATAAACTTTGACAGATCATGCATCAAAGAACCATCCTTTCCATTCTTCTCTTCATCCTCACCAAAGCTCATAGTCTCTACGTATAGGTCTTCAAGCTCCGTAGCTAGATCATCCATGAACTTAGCCAAACCATCAACATTCTTGAGATTAGGAGTGAAAAGTTTAGACTCGTTTTCAATGTTCTTGCTAATCTGACCGAGATTAGCAAGTCTCTTCTTCTTCTCATTCCACAATCTGCTTTCCTGGAATGCCGGATCATCCCCCGATCCTCCTCCTTTCGGGTTGGTGCTAAAGGAAGCAGTAAGCTAAAAGCCAAATAAACAAATTAGTAAAATTAATAAAACCAATTAACCAATTCATAAAATCAATAAATACCAATTTCTCTACTGGGAGATGGGCTTTGTTTAGCATGAGCCCAGTAGAGAAATTTCCTGCAATGAAACAGAAATTAATTAATTAAGAGTTTGTACTTTGTAAGATAAATAGAAAATAAAGAAAACAGATGTTAGTTGTTTACGCAGGAAGCGGGTTCTGTTTAGCTGAAGCCCGTTAGCGTATAGGCTTTTTTGGTATGTCAATAAATTTCCTAAATCAAAAGAAGAAATCAATTAATGAAATTGTGAAGGAAAAAATGAATAAAAGAATATGGAAGGTTAGTCTTGGGTTACCCAAGAGGCCGGTTTTCTGAAGCCCGTTAGAGTTAACTAGACTCTTTTCGTAGATAGAGAAACCATTTCTGAAGACATTACCTAAAACCATTACAAATAAATTTATTAAAAAATTTAAAAGAAGAAATTAATTAATGAAATTGTGAAGGAAAAAATGAATAAAAGAATATCGAAGGTTAGTCTTGGGTTACCCAAGAGGCCGGTTTTCTGAAGCCCGTTAGAATTAACTAGACTCTTTTCGTAGATAGAGAAACCATTTCTGAAGACATTACCTAAAACCATTACAAATAAATTTATTAAAAAATTTAAAAGAAAAGAATATTAAATATGAAGAAGAACAATGAAAAAAGAGAGGGATTACCGATGGGTTTTTTTTGTTGGTTTATTTTTGAGCATACAGATTTTAAAAAATTCATTTCTTCTTCCTTTCTTTTAAATCCAAAACCTACACAAAGAATCAGCGATGATCATTAGAAATTTTATAAATTTCAGACGTAATTTGAACCTACTAAAACCAAAACAAAACAGAAAATCAAAATAACCAAAAAAACCACACCCTGCGCTAATGTGAAATCAAAATCAAACAACCCAAAAATCAGCAATGATCAGTAGAAATTTAGTAAAGAATTTTCAGACGTAATTTGAACCTATTAAAACCAAAAAATCCAAATGACCAAAAAAATCACCCACAAACAGAGCATAAACAGAGCACAAACAGAGGTTGATCTAAAACAAACTTTTTCGGTAAAAGATCTGAAAACAAACTTGATAGTCTATCCATGATAAACCCAGAATCGCTGAATCAAACTTATGACAATAAAACAAAAACGAAAACAAAAAATCACAATCGGAAACATTATCACTCCAACATGTCGGTCTCCACTTAATACTAAATCTCGATTTTAGCAACCCAATAAAAGCAAAACCCACTCACCAAAATATGCAGAGAGCTGGGAGGAAGTTCATCTGATTTCGCCGGAGCAACAATAAAACAACAACAAAAAAAAAAAAAAAAAGTCATAATCGGAAACATCATCCCTCTAACATGCTGAGAGAGGTCAATTTAAGCTTACCATTGCGTATAAATCCAGAATGTTTCTATCTCTCCTTTCCGTACACCTCCTGCAGATCTCTCGAGTAAGACGACGACGGAAAATGACCAAAAAGGTGGAAAATGGCTTAACGACCTCCTCTCCACTGTACACAGTTTTATAGCGTCTCTCTCCACGTATATTGACAAATATACCCTCACTTTGTTTGCACGTATTGAAAGAAATAAGAAATGTGTACGACGGTTAAGAGAGGGACCCACTTCTTTTTCCTTTTATTTCCTTTTATTCTTATCGATTTTGTTCATCTTCATCAACTTTTTTTTCAAATGTCTAGGAGTAATTTCGTCCCCAATGTCTCGGTAGGTTACTTCTATATACTTAATAGATCTTAATTCCAAAAACACAAACTTGGTCAACTTGTAAATATGTGAATTTATGAGCGTTTTTGGTTCTTCTGCTTGGCGTTTGCAATTGCGTCTCCAGGTTACACTTGTAAAGTCATTAGTGTATGTTTATGATAGTACTAATTGCCTACTTTGAACTGATTAGTGTTGTTGATTCGTGTTATAAAAAAATTGTGATCTTGATTCTCTCGTAATATATGAAAGACATGCATGTTCGATTTTTACATTGATTGTGTAAGATTTCTGTAGATTATCTAACCTAATCGTATATGATTTTGCATTCCTCCTTGGAGAATTTAGCTTTTGTTTGCTTTATGATTTTGATTAAGCTCTTACTTATAGCCTCAGACTAATTATTACGCGGGGGTAAGAAAACGAAGAAAAAGCGGTTGACTATCAGGGGTATAACCGTCAAAACACAGGAAGAATAGGAGCTGAGGTAAGCAAGCATAGGCGCAGTTTTGACGACGGGCTTGATTGTTTGTGGCTGTAGAGTCTATGGACAGCCAAAATTTTGTCTACAGCCATTTACTTACACCAATCAAGCTTCCTCTCATTTTTTAATATTCACAGCCAAAACACAAAAAAATAGAAAAAAGTGGCTGTACGAAGCAAATTTTCTACAGCACCTAAAAAAAGTCTTTAGTTTTTCTCTCCCTCCATATATTAAATATGTATGATATATAGGATATCTATATGTCAATAAAAAATATTTTGATGACAAAAATATGGACCACATCCAAATGTTTTTCCAATTTGGGAATGTTTCTCATGCTTTCTTTCTTAATTTTTTTTAAAAAAATTTTTTTCAAAAAATCTTTAAGCAATTTTTAAATGCATTAAATGTTATTATGATAAAGACTAGCACATAAAGGAGTAATCATTTAGTACTAGTAGTTAATACATGCGTTTGTAATCAATCCTTATAAATGCAATGATTGGAAATTTGGTGTTTATTTGATGCAACTGTTAAATATAAATTTTGTAATTATTTTGATACTAGACTAGTAAAAAAAATTGGACGTAAAATTTCGTATGCATGTACATGCGCATGTTTGGTGGATGTATTTGTTCTTATTGTATAAAGAATGAGAAGTGGCAACTGAATTTGTGTTCTTGTTACCCTTGACTGGAAAGACCAAGACAGGTCCACAAGTGGCAAATTCCCATTTGACATTATCTCCCATTTTCATACATGAAGATGCAGTTGTGGTGTCGTGTACTTTCTTTTTGTTTTTTTCTTTTGTTTTTTTCTCTTTTCCTTGGATAAGACCAAAAATTGCCAAAGATTAAAGTAGTTTTTGCAAACTAAACGATGTTTTCATGGATCAAAACAAAGAAAGAAAATTGTTAATGAGTGATTTCCAAATAATTTAAAAATGATTACAATTGAAATATCTACGTGGTGGATTTTTTTTTTGGTGGTTGTAGTTTGTAATACTACTAAGATATTTATAAATGTTAAACAAAAGAATGAGATAATCCGAGAAAAAGGAATCTCATCATTGTACCGTTGGGATTATAATTTATAAAATTAATGATTAACCACAAGGGTTTCAGATAGGCCAATAGGTTGTGCAGAACGTACGGCTCTGATCCCGTTGTCTCCTGCCTCTGTCTATCTCTCTCTTTAGTTTAAAATTCATGAATTTTAATTTAAAAGAGAGAGAGAGAGAAAAAAGAGAAAAGGAGATTTATTTTTTTTAGGCGGATGTGATAACAAAAGGATTAGAGTTACCTTTAATTTCGAGTATTGCTACATTTTAGTTTGTTTTACATTTGCTTAAATGCTTATCAAATTATTAATGACGAGAGTCCGAGACCCAATTTATAAAAAAAAATTGGACGTAAAATCTCGAATGCATATATTTGTTTCTTATTGTATAAAGAATGAGAAGTGGCAACTGACTTAGTGTTCTTGTTACCTTTTACCGGAAAGACCAAGACAGGTCCACAACTGGCAAATTACCATTTGACATTATCTCCCATGCACATGTACGTGGTGGAGTTTTTTTTTTTTTTTTTGGTGGTGTTAGTTTGTAAAGGGGTAAATACTACTAAATGTTAAAGTGCCTATTCATCTGATTTCAAAGGGTAAAAATGTAAATTTATTTCATCTGATTTCAAAGTGCCTATTTTTAATTATTTCTATTAAATTATTTGTTTTTAAAAATTTGTCTTCAAATTTTATATTAATAAAAAATTATATCAAAAACCTGGATCCGGATATCTACCGGGCTATTTTTACGGATATCCGATGAAACGGATGCGGATCCGGATAATGAAAAAGCAGATCCGGATACCCTAAAAAAGCTGGATATCTGGATCCGGCCCAAACCTAACTGGGATCTAGATTATTGAGTATAATTAATAACCAAAATCATTGGTATCTATTTTACATACATGTACTTATTATGGTTAAAACTCTCTCTATATATCTTAAAATGATGCTACAACCAATTTCTACTATTGTTAAATTTTGTGCTTTGTATATATATCTATAGATTAGATATGCCCAAATTTTCCCTAACAATACAGAAACTGATTGTTATGATTTTTTCTTTTTAGTTAAATAAATCACTGATTAATTGTAAAATTAATTTCACTACAAAAATGTCGGTGAAAATGTGTCGAAAACTATTAGACTATTAGACTCATTTGATGTTTTAGATTTTGATAAAGATTTCACAATGTCGCTTGAGGAGAATGAATGGAATGGTCAAAGAGATAATCGAGATTAGTTGTTTCTGTCATTGATGATCTCCTACTATTTTAGTATTTGTTACGATTTTAGACTTTTAGTTGGATTCAAAATTTGAATCACTTTCTTATTATTGTTAGATTTTAAATTTTATTAAATATATTATGCTTATTTTTATTTTTATATTTATAAAAACTATATAATTTTTATATATATTAAATAAATTTTAATCAATTGACCCGTAGTCAAACCCGGTTGATCCAGCGACCTAGTGTAGTTCGGTTCACCGTCCGGATCGGATTTAAAAAATAATTATTATTTTTTCAAATTGACCAAAAACACAGAGAAAAAGTGATAAGCCTTTTCAAATGGGGATGGGGGATATGTGAACTTTTAGAACAAATAAAGTAGCAAAAAGAATTTGTTTGTGTTTTTTGGTAGTAGGCAAAAAGAATTTGTTAAAATCAAATAGATATATAAGTAGGGTGAAAACACGTGTTCGACCAGGATACATAGTAGAATGGTTTTATTTTAAGTCAAATAAAAAAATAAAAATAAAAATACATGTTGCTTTTGTGTCTTGGTTATCAACGCCCCGCGTGGCCTCAGTCTGTCTCTTGTTGCTTCTGCATCTCTCGAGCTTCTGTCTTCCTTCTGCTCCTTATCTGTCTCTCGAGAGACTCGTTTTATTGTTTTTTTCTCCATTAAATTATCGGATCCGTACTGTCTCAGCTCGCTCTATCTTATCTGACCGATTTTTTTTCTTCTTTCTTTTTTTTTTCTTTCTTTTCTCTTCTTCTTCTTCGATCTGACCAATCAGAGTCAGCAAAATGGCGGAGACGAAGACCAAGAGACTACTTAAAGTGGAAATCAGATTCAGCTTTTTCGTCCAATTGGAAGGGGAACTAGAGAGTTTTTTAAAATTTATCTTATTTGTTTTTAAGTAATGTAGTTGAAAAAATGAATAATTGTTTATAAATTTTAATCTTAAGTGGAAAATCTTTTTTACTTTTCAAATTATACCTCTACGAACGCAACCATTTGCACCCTAAAACTTTATAACATATGAATATTGAAAGCAAAGACTACATGAATTTAAAATTTTCAACTTGCAGAATTGTAAAGAGGAGAAACTTTGATTATTAGATAAACAAAGGTCACATGATATAAACCCAATTAATTAAAGAAACAACTTAGGCACGTCGTCTAAAAGAAGCTTTGATTTTTCTCATAATTTGTGAGAAAAAAAGAAAAGAAAAGAGAGAGTTATATAACTGATGCGCCACGTCGGATTTGAGCAAAAGCCAGTTTTCGATTTGGCGCTCTTGTACGCCTGAAAATTCGCAGTCTTCCCTCGTCCCCAATCCCTGGAGCCAAACACTGTTCCATTCAACCGCCACGTCATCATATCTTGAATTTTAATTTTCGTTTTTATTATTGTTCAAGCGAATTAATTTCAGAATTAACCATAAAATAATCGGGAAAAATATATAAACCGACGACGGTCTGTGTCTCCTTCACCAGAACACAAGATCCTTCTCCTCCTCTTTTGTTTTCCTTGGCCGTCGATTTTAAGGTTTTATCTTCTCCGTTGTGAAACCACTGATAAGGGAATTTACGAGGAGGATTTGTTTTGTTTCTCCGGCGTTTTAGAGTTTCACGATTTCTCCGTCGTTTGATTTTTTAATTCAATCCTCTGAGGGAAACGAGAATTTGGTTTTCGTTTTCGAATTTAGGGTTAAAGAAGCGGTTTCGCATTGGGTTCGTTGAGTCTTGAACCAATTTGCGAGAGGAATTGAAGCGTTTCGAGTTTTTTCTTTTTGTTTCCCGGAGGTCCGAAGTGCGAATCTGTTTTGTTTGATGAAATTAGGGTTTTGGAATCGGAATTTGGATGGTCGTTTATGTTGATTAGTCGACGATTGCTGAGTTAGGACATGATTTTGAAACGTACCTTGACATTCGAGAATCAGAATCTGAAGCGGTGCAAAATTGATTCAGAAATTGAGTATGGGAGCAAAAAGGGTGAGATTATGGTGTATAAGAAGAGACAAAGAGCAACCGTGGATCAACCATGTAGTAGAGAACCCGAAGTTCATACAAGTAGCTCAAGCTCTTTGACCAGCAAAGAATCTCAACAAGTTTGCTCTGACCACTCCAAGTCTTCGCGTGGCAGAGTTCGAGCGGTTCCTTCAAGGTTCAAGGACTCCATTGTTGGTTCATGGAAATCTAGCCGTCGCAAGGAAGAGTCGACGGATTCTAGTCATGATGACGACGTGAATCTGGGGAAGAAGGTCAAAGGTTTCAGTGGAAGCCCGAAATTGCATCGAAGCAAAGACTCGAAGCTGTTTCCACATAAGGATAACGGAGACAGCAGCGAAGTAGATTGCGATTACTGGGATGTTAAAATTTCCATGTTGTCTTCCTCCGACGATGCTAATTCTGGTATGCCGAAAAAGTCTGACGTGTACAAACCAGCATGGCCGGCTATGGTGGTCGATCCGATATCACAAGCGCCTGATGGGGTCTTGAAACATTGCGTCCCAGGCGCAATTTGTGTCATGTTTTTTGGGTACTCGAAGAATGGAACTCAGAGGGTAATATACTAATCTCCTTAAATCTCTCTCTCTGGTGTTTGATGCGTTTATTTCTATTATCTTTTTCTGAAACTTCTGGTCATTAACAGGACTATGCATGGGTCAGACAAGGAATGGTGTATCCATTTACGGAGTTTATGGACAAGTAAGTATATGAGACGCTCTCTCTGTGATCTTTCATATTTGTCTGTTTGTTTCTGTTCCTTAGTCTTTCATATCCTCAGATTTCAGGACAAGACAAACTTGTACAATTACAAGCCAAGTGAATTTAAGAAGGCACTTGATGAAGCAGTTTTAGCAGAAAATGGGGTCGAGGGTAATTGTGGAGATGCTGAAATCAGCTGCCCAGATTCCTCTGCGACGGAATCCGACCAGGACTATGGACCTGCTTCTAGAATACAGGCACGTTTTCTTGACACATATTCTTCTTCTTATTTTTTGGTTAGATGTTCAAGTTTGCTCTTGTAATTGATTTGCGAATACAAAGTAAATCAATTGAGGACAGGTTCTTACTTCACTCTCACCAGTCAGTTCTATTGTCATCCTGTCTAATTCATAAGTATCTATATGTAGTCATATACTTTCTGTTCTAAGTCATGAAGGCATTATACATACTACATAGGCGTAGATGTACTGTTTGTATCTGACTCTTGTATTGGGAATACCTACCCTAAAACGATTTGCCGATTTAATTATTGTGTAGGGTGCATGTCATGAGGACATAAGGACTTGCGACGGTTGTGGCTCAGCAATGCCATGAAAATCTCTAAAAAGGACTAAAGGGTCACAACCTGAAGAGCTTTTATGCAAACACTGTTCAAAGGTTCTTAGTAAATGCCATTTTATTCTTCGGTTTTCTCTTGCCAAAAGGAATTGAATCCAAATTGGTTGTTTCAGTTGCGGAAATCCAATCAGTATTGTGGCATTTGCAAGAGAATGTGGCACCCTTCAGATGATGGAGATTGGGTGAGAATATATGTGACCATGTTTGGTGAAATACAGACCTGAGTAAGAAATTATTACATCTATATAGCTGACTTGATTTGATGTATTAGGTTTGTTGTGATGGGTGTGATGTATGGGTACATGCTGGGTGCGACAACATTTCAAATAAGCACTTTAAGGTACACTTCCATGCATCTTAACTTTTGATTCTAAGTAATGAAGACTCTTGTTAAACTATCGCACTAATTTGGTTATCATCTTAAGGAACTGGAGCACAACAATTACTATTGCCCTAATTGTAAAGTCCAGCATGAGCTTGCGCCATCAATATTAGAAGAACAGAACTCAGTGTTCAAGTATGTTGTTAACATCTCATGTTCTCCTGCTTTTATTGTTTGCATTTCTCCATTGCTATAATATGCGAGATTTCCTCACAACCTCTTTGGGATAGGTCTACAAAAAAGGCGACAGAGACTGAGCTGCGTGATGAGGTTACTGTAGTCTGTAATGGCATGGAAGGAACATATATCAGAAAATTTCATGCGTACGTATTAGATGTCTCAGCCTTATTTCACTTTCTTCATTTAGAAAGGATCTTATTTGTTTATGACTATGCAACACAATATCGTAAAATGATTTTTTCTCTGAAAACGATAAAATCCGTGTTTAATCCTAGGCTTCTGTTATCGCTCTCTTGTTGTTGTAGAGATTAGACCAACACATTAATCTTTGAACTATTGTTTTCAGAATTGAGTGCAAGTGGGGTTCATGTGGGTCAAGGAAGCAGTCACCAAGTGAATGGGAAAGGCATACAGGCTGCAGAGCCAAAAAGTGTAAGAGTGAAAGACACAATGCTACCTCTAGAAAAATGGGTACATCCCTTTTGCTATACTCTCATAAACTTGCCGTTATATACCCCTGAAATTTGGATGTTAGAGATTTAATACTGACAACAATATATTACAGATTGGAGAATTTAGTACCTACACTATAGAAACCCAGATGTTAGATAAGCAGAAGATGCTCTCTTTGCTGGAAGGTAGATTATAGGTGAACTCTTGGCTCCCTTCTTTTGGAATTCAAATTTGGTTGGAAACTTGCTTACTACTTATTTTGTATGCACAGAAAAGTATGAGCCAGTCAGTGCTAAGTGGACGTGAAAGATGTGCTGTATGCAGATGGGTAGAAGACTGGGAAGAAAATAAAATGATCATCTGTAACAGGTTAATTTATAGCATTTTTGGTTATACTGAATTCTACAGCGATCTTATAACCAAACATGGGGTCGTAAGTATGTAAATCTGACCAATATTAATGAATATGTGTTCAGATGTCAAGTGGCTGTGCACCAAGAATGCTATGGGGTAAGCAAATCTCAGGACCTCACCTCCTGGGTGTGCAGAGCATGTGAAACACCAGATATTGAGAGAGACTGTTGTCTTTGTCCTGTTAAAGGTATTACTGCAGAATTAGCTCTCTTCATGATTTTTTTTCCCCTATCTTGCATTAGTAATTATTTATTCTTGACTGTTCTGTCACAAGGCCAAGTTAAGTACACTCGTTCACAAGCGCCTACTGCGGTCTTGAAACATTGCGTCCCGGGCGCGATATGTGTCATGTTTTTTGGGTACTTGAAGAATGGAACTCAGAGCGTAAGATACTAATCTGACGTTTTCTAGCTGACGTTTGATGCAGAATGATCTTTTTCTGAAACGTATGGTCATTTACAGGACTATGCAAGGGTCAGACAAGGAATGATGTATCCATTTACGGAATTTATGGACAAGTAAGTACACGAGACGCTCTTTCTGGAATCTTTTATAGTTGTGCGTTTGTTTCTGTTCTTTAGTCTTTCATCTCTTATGATCTCAGGATCAGACAAACTTGTACAATTACAAGCCAATTGAATTTAAGAAGGCACTAAAGGAAGCAGTTTTAGCAGAAAATGGGGTCGAGGGGCGATTGTGGAGCTGCTGAAATCAGCTGCCCAGATTCCTCTGCGACGGAATCCGACCAGGACTATGGACCTGCTTCTAGAATACAGGTCAAATTTTGTAATATATTAATTAAGATATGAAGATATAGACTGAAATCACATGATTAGATTGCTAAGTCAAATTTTGTACAAACGTGTTTTTGTGAATATAATTCCGTGCTTAATTAACAATTTATTACTTTAAAAGCTTAAACCTCACGGAAATCGGTAAAAAAAAAATCCCAATAAAAAATGAATTAATAACAAAACCTATGAAATAGTATTATATGACTTAGACAGATAGTGCAGTGTGCCTAATTGATCATTGGTATATGTAAATATATAATTTTATTGACTTCAAATTGGTATATATATTTGCATATCCAAATATATATCAAACTATTGATTTCGGAATAATCTGTCTAAATAAATACATAAAAAAAAAAAAAGTCATTCCTTGTTAATGAAAGACCGGTGAGACATTTCTTCCAGCTGGTTAATTAACATCAACACTAGAGCTTTAACAACAACATAATACCAAGTTTTGATTGAAAGAGTCTAAAAATCAAACTTGGAAGCAAATAATACCAATTTCTAAATAAATACATAAAGCTCTCTAAATTTTCAGTAGATGTTAAACAGAAGATATTCAACTAAATATACATATCTCGTCATATCTTCCTTCACGTAATTCTCTTCGGGAGTCTCATCCCAAACCCACGCTTCAATTTCTCAATCCTGCACCATCAACAAACCAACTAGATTACATAACTTTCTTTCTTGTGAAGAAAGAGCAAGTAACAAAAATAGTGATGTAAGAAAGGCTTACGTTGGGGCTAGTTTCCCGAGGCAATCGAGCTCTTCACCGGTGTCTTCATCTATGACTCTACCCGTGATGTCAACAATGTATGATCTATCTCTGTCTGGAGGAAGTCCTCTACCCGCAAGCAAGTCCAAATCTTTCCGGTGAAGCTCTCTCCCGTTGACAAACACTCCCGTGGTTCCACCTGAGCAGTTCTCTGGCATTGGGTAGTTAAGCTCTTCTATGAATGGCTGCGACAAAAAGGATTCCGCCTTTTTAGTAAGATTCAGAAACATATTGACAAGAAGCAATATCAAAATGTGTTTACCGGTAATATTCCAAGACCTGGACCTCCCATTACTCCCCAGAATCCAGCTCTGTAATCATACCTAAAATGTCCCCAAAAACACATTAATAGTTATGAAGAAGATGATCAATAAAAGAAAGCAGAATCGAATTCGCAATATCTACCAGTAGTTTCCTGGCTGAATGACTCCGGCTTGCTTCTCAGCTTTTCTCAGCAGACGTTCTGTTAAAGGATTTCCATTTATCGAAACATTGCTTTTATTCCCTTCATCATTCTGAATAGATTTTGTCAGATCCTTGAAGCTTTTCTTCACAATGCTTGCAAATCCGCTCTTCTTGGCTCTTTGCTGCTGATCTTTAGATACTCCACTGTTACGATGAGAGTAGTCGTTGAAGTTAACTTCCATCTCACTTGCAAGTGAAACCTCTTTCATGGAGTTCTGTCTCATAGCTGTCGTCTTGCTCAGTGTGACCTTGTCGTGTTCCGAACGAGAGCTACGGCTGCCTGCTCCAGACCGGTCATGATTGATCGAAGAGTAATCAACAAAGTTATCGTGAAGAGGAGAATCTTGAGCTTGAGCTAGTGGCTTAGCTGTTAGACTGTCTGAGCTTAGCTCGTCCTCGGAAAGGCTAGCGGAATGAGAATGAACGTGCTGCATATCTTGAGACTTGTCTGAAATCAATCCCGGAAGATCTCTTGGTTCATCATCCAACGAATGAAACACATAACCAAGAAGATCATAGTCATCAGAAGTGTAATCAGCAGCTACACGGGCTTCTCCTTGTCTCGTTGAAGCTGTGTTTGTCGAGAGAACGAATTTGTTATTAACAACAGATAAATCTATCAAACAAGAGCATGCTCCACATCGCACTTTCTGCTGTTTTTTTGTACCAGCCTCTGGTTTCTTTGGCAATTGTAGAAGCTCAAAACAGTTTTGACAGGTTATAAACGGAGCACCACCTGCCAAAGGGCGGATATGACGAGATCCACCTGATAATACAACTTTAGGAGGACGTATCCGCGAAAGAGAGTCCATTTGAGCATCACTGAAGTTACTAGGCCATCTGCCATGAGGCTGTAGACCACGAGAACCATAAGTTCTTGGATTATGCGGTGGAGCAAAACCCATAACGCTCTCATGAGGATAAAAACCGGCGTTATAGGGTGCATCAGGGATCACCGGTGCTGGACCTCGCCAGTATTTATTATCATAACACTGGTAACAAGAGCAAGATGAGTGATGAAAATGCCCGTTTTGCTGCGGGTATGCGTCAAAGAGGTCATGACCGTTGTTATTATTACCAACATATTGTCCCGAGAAGTAGGGATGAGATGGTTGCAGCGGATGAGGACCTCTTCCGTGTATAGGGAACCTATGAGTGTCTCCATAAGAGGGATGCATCAGACTATGGTGCATAGGGACTTCATTGTTGTTGTTGTTGTAAGGAAACTGCGGTTCAGGATGTTGATGGTAATAAGAAGGACCTCCAACAGCGTGATTTCCCGTACTGTGAAACCGCATTGGAGGCGCCTTGTTCAACCCCGAGGCAGACGAAGAACTAGGAACCTGTTCTTTAGACTTGTCAGTCGCCACATTGCAAGACTGAACAAGCTGTTCTTTGATCTTTTCTAACTGTCTCAGAAGTCCAGCTCGGTCTTGCTCGATTGCTTCATTGCTCTGGTCTTTCAAATGTTTCTGGAACTCATGGAGTGAATCTGGAAAGTAGTTAGCTGAAGAAGAAGTGCCTTCATCACAAGGATGCCTTGAAGTGGATAATCTGTTGATGACACTTTCAGAATCACATCTCGTAGTTGTTCTTTTCCTAAACCGATCCAAACCAGAGTCTTGTCTCCCCGATTGAGATTTAAGGTCATCTTTATCCCCTAATATAGATCTGTTACCTTGTTCTTTTGAACCAGGATCACTCTCAACATCAACAGGAACAACATTTTGGTGGTGTCTCAAAGAAACAGAATTTGATGGAACATCAGAGTCAGATGAAGTTTCACTAGAATCCACAATTGCTTTCTCTGGGGAACTAGTAGAGTTAGCTGAAATTGGTTTGGCTTTATCTTCAACGGACTTGACTGAAACAGAATCTGCTTCACGCTCCTTGATTTTGGCTGTATGTTAAACAAGTCTCTTGAGAGTAAGCATAAGAAAAAGAAAAAGCTACTTAATTCGAATCAACAAAAACCAGATCGTTAATAGCATCAATAACAAGAACTTAAAAAAAGAGAAATTTATCTACATCGATTCCATCAAAAGCACACTCATCAAATCCTACAAATTGGGCATCTCTTGTTGAAACTCAAAAAGTGAATGAGAACTTACCACGAAGAACGGTGAAGCAGCCACCACACTGGAAAAAGGGGGAATCTTCAGGCTCTGATAAGAGATTCTCGCATTTTGGGCAACGAACTAGCCTTACTTTGGTTGAATCAGCCATTTCTTTTCAATTAAACGAACCCAGAAAACGTCTGACAGAGATAATCACCCAGAAATCAGAAGGAGAAGAAAGAAAGTTTCAGTTTTGAAGAAAGAGAGAAAAAAAAACTGAACCTTTTGCTCAGAGCTTTCTCTTTGATTGGGTTTAGCTTCTGGTTCTGCTACTGGATCCCTTCTTTTTTCTAGCTAGATTTTCTCGGGAAACCCAAACCGGAATAAGGAGAAGTTCACAAAGAGCCAAAGACAGAGGAAAATGCTATCTGAGAAAAACTATGGAGTAAAGGCAAGAAATTTGTGTAATCTCTGTCTCTATTTCTAGTTTTGGTTAATGGTAGTTCTCGTGGAGTTCGAAGTTTGGTCTTGTTGGGAGAAAATCTTTCTCTGGGGGGTTATGCTTTGTTTCTTCTGCAAATTTCGCTCCTTTTCACACGGCACAGAGACTAGTATAATAAAGTATAAACTCATCTTTCTTTATCTCTCTCGGAAAAGAAATGACGTCGTTTTAGCAGCCACCAACATTTATTAAACGACGGCGTTTTTACAGTGAGCGTTTTTACTACTACTAGTTTGGTTGTTTTCAATATTGCTTGTCTGAGCTGTGACGCAACCACAATGGTCCGTATTTTCCCAACGGCGAAAGTCTCAGTTCCGTCTGATTCTTCTATGCCGTTAGTAGTGTTTATACTGACGTGTACTTTTTCCACTTTCACCCATTTTTAATTATGATTGTTGTAAATATACGAAATGGTTGATTTTTATGTAATTCTTACTTGGTTTTTTTTTTTTTATATTATCTTTTTCCAGTGAGCATTGTGAAAACTGAAACGTAGTGGATTTATGGATAAAGACCAACACAGTGGAGAATTACTAAATTAGAAGAAAATAAATAAGTTGGGGAATTTTGCTTTTGATTTTGCTTTTGCTTTTATAACAACCATATATAAATAATAGCTTTTCTTTATAGCTTCTATGTCAGCGACCACTGAGGTAAAAAGAAAAGCAGGGTTTTGGCCTTTGTTAAAAGATGTGACAGATTAAAAATGTATAGGCATTCTTAAATTACATGAAAACAAAATGGCAGATAAAATAACAATAGAGTAAAGAAAATGATATGAAATGGCAAAAAAAAAAAAGAGAGGAAATATTCGTTAATTAAAGAGAGGTCAAAGAAGACGAACGTTAAATTTAAGTGGTCCATGTGTACATTAGTGGAGCCCAATGCCACACCAAACAACCCAACCCATCGAAGCTTCACCACATTTTCTTTCTCGTGTGTGTTTCTTTTGACTGTATTTTAAACTCTTTTTATGACTTTCACTTTAAGAAATTGGATCTTTATCTTACTATTGTGTTAATCACATATGAAGAAGCAATTTAGGTGGACCATTTTACAGATTTTATTGATTTAATCTTTTACTTTGATCTTAACAAAATTGCTTCTTTTGGTAATATATAATTAAATTTGTGAACTTTAAAAAGAAAATGTGGAGCCCATAAAAAGATCTCTGAAGTGGATGGAGAACCATAGAAACCAGAGACTTAACTGCTTTTTTGAGACAACAATTGGTAATGGATTATGCAATAATAGCTACTGGTCTGTTTCGCATTGATTTTACACTTTCTTGTGATTTTAATTATTGTGATTTGTTCCTTGTTTTCTTTCTTCAGCAGCCTTTGTACTTATGATGATGTGAATTGGAGTGTAATATTACACCCCTCGATGTTATGATATAAGTGTTTCAAAACAAAATACTATATGTAGTACATTTTTTTTTTTACATTGGATATACATGGTATATTATATAAATTATATAGATGAACAGAATCAACAGATGGAATTCATAAGTTTATAACGATTTAGATGAAAAGAATCAAGCTTCTGAAGATGCTCGTTCAAAGCTTTAATACCTTATTGAGGAAGCATTTTATGTTGTAACGGCTAAACTATATACTCAACATGAAAAAGCGCAAATTCTAACGGAATAGCCTTTAAGTCTTTAACTCTGTTCAAATTTTGATCATTTAGATGGGCCGTAACAGACTTTAACCAATAAGCCCATCAGCGCATACTCAACACTCAGTCAACACTTTTTCAAGAGTAACAAATTACACAAATTTACCAAGTTCCCAAGACCTAAATCATTGACTGAGTCAATAATCATTTGCATGTTGGAATATTGTCAGAAGAATCATGAAAATTTCAAAGCTATTATACACATTGCTTCACATGTTTTGTCCTTTGTTATTCACTTGTGTTTTGTTTTCTATCAAGTTCACATTTTTTCTTCTGACACTTCATGAATTGTTAGTACAATGGCAATTGCTAAACGACTACTATATTATTCTATCGTTAATATCTCATATTTCCCAATGTAAACGTTGATTGCATGTTGATCCACGTTTCACTCTTTGCCTAAACGTTTCAGAGCTTCCAATGTATGATGTGATGGGTATTAAATCCACGAAAATTCTTCTTCTTAAACTAATTACTGTGCATTTAATCCATAATTCAATAAAATGTATTTCCCGTTTCATTACAGTTTATTCGATTAAATTTTCAAAATTAAAATGAACAAGTAATTATTATTATTTTACGAAGAAGCAAAAAAAGAAGATGAAAATCACATCTTCGAAGAACCAGATCTTGTTGTAGGAATCCTTATCTTAGAGAAGATCCGACAAAACATCTTCTTCTTCTTCTTGTGCTTGTAACTATCGACGGTGTTTTTCTTTCTCTTCCACCATTTGGTTCCAAAAGCACCGCACAATAATTTACCAGTCGTCGAATCAGAGGAACAACACAGATCAACGACGGTGCTGGCCGCGCGATTGGCAATTTCCCCCAGATCAGACGGTGATCGAGAACAGCAAACTTTTCCGGCGCCGGCAAGAGAAGGGAGAGACATGAAATGGCGTTCGATGATGTGAGTAAGAGAGACGAGCTCGTAGGAATCATAGAGTGGACTTCCACAATCCCATAGTATACGATCATCATCAACAACCATATTCTTCGTCTTCTCTGTAGTGTTTTCCATGAATGATGTTTGTGTAAGTGTGTTTCTCGATGTGGATTTACAGTGAGTGTGTGTCTTTTATTGAAAGTGTTTTTAAGGTTTTTGTTTTCTTCCTCTAGTTTTTTGTCTTTTGGTCGTATGGACGGACTTATAACATCCAAGCTGGCGAGATTTGTTTATGTTTTTGACGATTAATTACTTTTAATGGAGTTTTTTTTCCTTCTTTTTTTTGTTAATTATTTTTTTTTTTAAATCCGGAATAGGAGAAAATAGATACACTGATACACAATCAAATCACAAACTGATTTTTATTTTTATTTGTACCAATTCAATTCATGTCAATTTAACAAGCCAAAAATGTTAATTAAATTTTTGTATTAATGTAGTTTAAAAATTGAAAACAAGTATTTTCGGTATATATTTTTTAGTTTTTACCATTTTGCGTATATGTTATTGTTTTAGAAACTTTAGTAAACCAATTAAAAATCCAATCATGTATTTCTTCCTATGAGATTGGTTAGACAAAGACTTGAACGAAATAGATTGTGGCCAAATTTAGTTCTCTTTCTCAATATATCATTCACGCATATAAAAAAAAAAATTAAGATCAAAAGAGGAGGAATAGGTAAAAGTTATTATTCCCTCCTTCAGCTGCAAAATTATTTAATGGTGCTGACAAAATATAAAGATGGGCCGACAATAGGCCCAATGTGAGTAAGCACACGTTAGCAACTAGCTGAGAGAGAGAGAGTTATTAGGCTTGGTTTAGGCTAATCTATGCAAAAAATTTATCTTCTCCGTTGCGCAATTGGATCGACTTTTTAAAAAGGTATCCGCGCCAGAGAGCTAATTAATCATTTCCATTTCTTCTTCATCATCATCAATCTTCCTCACTCAGTCTCGAAACCCTAGTTTTGTTTACCCAACCAACAAAGGAAGCAAGATATGCCGAGAGAGATTATTACGCTTCAGGTTGGACAATGTGGGAATCAGATCGGTATGGAGTTCTGGAAACAGCTCTGCCTCGAGCACGGTATCAGTAAAGATGGTATTCTCGAGGACTTCGCTACTCAGGTCCTTCCTTCTTCTTCTTCTTCTGAACCAATGCTCTCTCTTTATTTAATTAATTGTCTACTCAGGTCCTTTTTAGGTCTGATTGGTTCGAAATCGTTGTTTCTGGGTTTCTGTTAATCGATAAATTGAATACCATTGTGTTTTGTTTAACCCTTTAAATTAAGATTACTGATAAGAGTAGCTTTGCGTTTTTGAATTGATGTTTGTGAAGGGAGGTGATAGAAAAGATGTGTTTTTTTACCAAGCGGATGACCAACACTATATCCCACGAGCTCTCCTTATTGATTTGGAGCCTAGAGTTATCAATGGTATCCAGAATGGTGATTACCGCAATCTCTATAATCACGAGAATATCTTCGTTGCCGACCATGGTGGTGGTGCTGGTAATAACTGGGCCAGTGGTTATCACCAGGGGAAAGGTGTCGAAGAGGAAATCATGGACATGATTGATCGAGAAGCTGATGGAAGTGACAGCCTTGAGGGTTTTGTTCTTTGCCACTCTATTGCTGGAGGCACTGGCTCAGGTTTTCAATCTTTTTTGCCAATCCCCTATCTTAATTTAGCTTATGTTTATTCACTGAATGACTTTTATTTTTGTTTTTCGCATCAAGGTATGGGATCTTATTTATTGGAGACTTTGAATGATCGCTATAGCAAGAAGTTGGTTCAGACATACAGTGTATTTCCCAATCAGATGGAAACGAGTGACGTTGTTGTCCAGCCATACAACTCACTGTTGACGCTTAAGCGGCTTACGTTAAATGCTGATTGTGTTGTTGTCCTTGACAACACTGCTTTGGGAAGGATAGCTGTGGAGCGTCTACATCTGACCAATCCTACCTTTGCTCAAACGAATTCTCTTGTGTCTACTGTGATGTCTGCTAGCACAACAACACTGCGTTATCCAGGATACATGAATAACGACTTGGTTGGCTTGCTTGCATCTTTGATCCCAACACCAAGGTGTCACTTCCTCATGACAGGATATACACCATTGACTGTTGAGCGCCAGGTAAGATATCTCAATAACTTTAATCACTGAGACCATCAATCACAAAATGTTTTTATGGAAGGCTACCGTAATATCTTGTACATGAATTCTACAGTGTGCAAATGTTCCATTTTATCGATTTTCTGCTCTCTTAACTGAATTGTTCTCTGCAGGCAAATGTCATCCGTAAAACTACTGTGCTGGATGTTATGAGAAGACTTCTACAGGTGAGCTGTTTGCTTTCTCCAATTTTTTTTGGAAACTTGAAGCAGATGTTTTTCTAACATGATTGTCTTCGCAGACAAAAAATATCATGGTTTCGTCTTATGCTAGAAACAAAGAAGCTAGTCAGGCAAAGTACATATCAATATTGAATATAATTCAAGGAGAAGTCGATCCCACTCAGGTACTTTTACCTAGTAGTTTTTTTATCGACACATTGAAGATGAATTGGTTAATTCTTTCTTGCTGATGTAATCTGCTCTGTTGTTTCACTACTTGATACCAGGTGCATGAGAGTTTGCAGAGGATACGAGAAAGAAAGCTTGTTAATTTCATTGAGTGGGGACCTGCAAGCATACAGGTTCTAACCTAATTGTGCCTTCAAATTAGTTATTGCTTTTGGCTTGACCATGGACTTGCATCATAATTTTTTGCATATCTTACTCTCAACAGGTTGCTCTTTCCAAGAAGTCCCCATATGTTCAAACTGCCCATAGGGTAATCTTATATCACGCTATATATATCTGTAATACTGAGAGTTGCTACTCCTTGCAGTTAATGTCTTAGGCTGCTAGTTCCTGGTTTAGAAGATACAACGAAGACTCTTATTTTGGTGGTGTATTTGATATTTCAGGTCAGTGGTCTTATGTTAGCAAGCCACACTAGTATCAGGCACCTATTCAGCAAATGTTTGAGCCAATATGATAAGTTGAGGAAGAAGCAAGCTTTTCTTGACAATTACCGGAAGTTTCCCATGTTTGCTGTAAGTTGACTGCTCAAATATATTGCCTTTGTTTGGCTAGTGTTTAGTGCAACCCACCCAGCTTTGACAGTTCTGCATGTTGATATGAACAGGACAATGATCTTTCAGAGTTTGATGAATCAAGGGACATAATTGAGAGTTTGGTAGATGAATATAAGGCCTGTGAGTCACCAGATTACATTAAATGGGGAATGGAGGTATATAAGCTTTTCCCATATATAGTCTTATTTATGGATGAACTCGAAATGATAACTGTATATGTGTCTGTCTCAGGACCCTGAACAGCTTATGACTGGTGAAGGCAATGCTTCAGGAGTTGTTGATCCCAAGTTGGCGTTCTGATTATTAAATAAAAACAAAAACCAGAGTAAGTCGCATGATGTTTCACTTTTAACTGAGATATTTCAGGTCATCATAGGTTTACTTTATAATAGGTTTTGGTAGGAGCAGTAGTAAGTGTTGGCACGTAAAACCTTGGAATAGTGTTATGATGTGGATGAGTTTTAATCTGTGAGATGAATGTGTGTTTCCTGGGATTGAGAGCACATAAAGTGGCATCTCCTCAGGAGAAGGAATCTTGAATTGTATCTTTTTTTTATGGGTGTTTTAGCTCATGTCTCTGTGATCTGAGTCTCATGTTCTCCATGTGTGGTCAAAAGACTCGAAAACTCTAGAAAGGAAGAAGCATGTAGTGTTGATGAAGGAATTGGGTTCAATGGATTCTATTTTCTTGGTATATATATGGTATATATATATATATATATGCTCATCTAAACTTTTTATACTAGTATGTTGATTGCTTAGTGGATTCTTCTATCGGTCAACTCTCGTTGACTTTTTTTTTGCATACGACGTCGGTCTGGATGCAAATCAAAGTATCAAACTTTGAGCAACAAAAAATCATTTTTAAAAAAATCCTATGCAAGTTGAATTGAATTCGCTTACTAGTATATAACAATTTTAAATTTTGTGGACCCCACATATTATAATAGTGTGATTAGGCAACAAATTACACTAATGATTTCCGAGAAGTCGTTTGACGCGAGTATTTGAAAATTAATAAGCAAATGATAATGTTGACAAAACAAGCTCGTTTTAAACGATAAACAATCCGACATCCACTGCAAATAATCGAAATTTTGTTGCTTTGTTTATTAGTGTTTATCTTTCTTCTTATTTAGAAACTAAGCATAATCTTACCAGTAAAAACCAAAATCTAACGATGGACATGTAACAACATTTACTTACTAGCCGTTACATATGTTTCACTCAAATAATCTTTTGACAAAGAAATTTACAATTGAATCATAATTTGTTTTTATTCTCGTATTAAAAAAAAATCAAAAAATCAAAAAAAAAAAAAAATGTAAAAGTAAAAGTAAAGAACTGAAAAGGGGAGAATCTCATCATATCACATGGCCTCTATGTAACTAAATTATTCCCCCTCCAATGTATTTCTTTCTGGTCCCTAACTATAAGCATCTTTTGTTGTGAATTGGCATATGATGTTTAATTATTTATAAATAGATAATGATGCTAGTAGTATAGTAGTACCATATTAAAATTTTAGAGAAATGTTTGTGGAGACTGGAGAGTGAAAATACAGTTTAGTTTTACATAAATATGTAGAAAGGTTTTGAAAGTAGTGAGGATAAGTTTTCTTGTTAAAATATAGTAGACTAATTATATGAGTTTTGGAACAAAAACATAGATTCTCTTGTTGTAAATTAAAGCGTGTTATATTAGGAAAAGAAATGGGAGATGCACATATGGCAACATTTCAACGTCAGATTCGTGTGTCAAAGGCTCTTTTAAGTAAGAATCCTGGCTCTTAACCATGCGTACAAATCTATATATACATTTTTGGATGACTTTTAGCAAATAAATCCTAGGGTTGAGCAGTATTTACAAAGAATGCCATTGGCATTTATTATTAATTTTACAAAATTTAAATAAAAGATATTAACCAAACAATATCTTGCCTAATTTGTTTCTAAAAATATTTACACAATCTTTCTATATATCTTCAAAAAAATTTATAGCAAATATTTATATTAACATTTTGCATAGCAATAAAAATACTATTTTATAATAATCAAAATATTCACATAGAAAAATCAAATACACATACATGAAAAGAACTATATCTATCATCATTTAAGCCGTTGTTTTATTTAAATAAAAAAAAACACAAAAAACTTGAAATCATATACTTTATATGATAAATTTAAAATATATATTAGTAGTATAAATTTAAAATCGTTCAAATAACGGTATACTACGGGTGAGATCCTAAAATTATTAGATTTTATAACAATAATAATTTATTTTCTTGGATTTTATAATACTAATAATTTAGCTAACGAGATAATATAGACATGTTTATATGGGATGACGGGTTTGGGTCGATATTAATAAATAACGGTATATCACGGATGAAATCCTAAAATTAACAATCAAAATATAATTATACAATCTTAAACACAAAACAAAAGAAACAATATTAACAAAACAAATCCAACTTAAATTTAAAATTTTTAGTTATAAAAAACCCGACCCACGGTATACTGCAGAGTAAAATATTCAAAATTTTAAAATCCACCATACATCGTTACTTAAAAAAAAATGTATGTTTTCATATTTATACTTCAAAAATTGATAATTAGATATCTACATTTTAAAATACAAATTAATATGATATATCTTCAGTTAGTCTTTTAAAAAATAACATTACATTTTTTAAAAAAATATAGCCCCGCGGTATACCGCGGGTTAAATTCTAGTGTTAACATTATGAAAGAATAAAATCCACCTGTGTTTAATAAAACGAAAGAGCTCTAGCCAGTAGCCATACTCAACGCGTAAATTATTATCATTATGTAAATAAATTCAAATTCCATTGTTGAGGGAATAAAAATCAAACGAACCAACTAGGAACGGTCAATTAGAAAATTCAGCCAGGTAAAAGACACATGTCAGTTAACTCAATAGAACAAGTAAATCCGGCTATAGTGGATTACCGGCTATACCCGGTAAACAGTTATGTCCTATAAAAACGCGTCTCGTTCGTCATCTATCTCGCCGGAGTTCTTCATTCCTATTTAATTTGTCCACTGTAAAATCTTGAGATGGCGTCCGTTGCCGTAATCGCCTTCTTCTCTTTCGTTTTAGCCGTCATCTCTCCATTCGCCGGCGCTCAATCCTTAGCTCCTGCTCCTTCTCCCGCAAGCGACGGTATAGTTTTCCGATCTCACATCCTCTCACCAGATCTGATTGTCAAAAGTACTCTTCCAAATTTCCCTCTTCGATTAATTTTTGTATCATTTGGGGAAAATGAATGATAAACAGGAACATCGATTGATCAAGGAATCGCGTATTTGCTAATGGTGGTGGCGTTGGTGCTGACGTATCTCATCCATCCTCTTGATGCATCCTTCTTCTAATCTTTTGTATTTCAGAATTCGACTTCTAATTGAATGTATGGGTTTAGTTTCAACTTTACTATTTTCAGTGAACATTTCGCTAATATCAAGATATTAGAGATACCTTCTTGTTATTTGTTATTTTTAGATTTTTCCTAGAGATTTTTTTATTAATTTATATGTTTCCTATAATCTTTTGTTTATTTTAGACGTACCCCCCTTTAATTATGTTTATTGCCAATGTTTCCAATACGTCTAAGACAAAATGTTCCAAAATTGTTACTTACATTTACTGTTATTTAACATAAATTCTCCATGTTATGAACTATTACCATATAATTTTACTAACGCGCCTCTGGAGTACAAAAGTCTCTCCAAGCATGCATAATTGCATACGCGTGGACGTGGTTGGTAAAATGCGTGTCATAAACGTACCGTTCAACTTTAATCCTCCTTTTCGTTTAAAAGTAAACGCATGTTGTAACGCTTTTTATACACAAAAACGCTTTGAATCGAATTTTAGATACCGCGTTGTCAGCGATCTGGGCCATATATGGGCCAAGAGTGTTCCGTTGTTGAAATGAACCCATTTACATTAGAAGTGGCACATGTCAATGATGGTATTCTATACCAAGTGAGACCATGATTTAATTGTGATTTCGAAACCCACGTCTAAATTGAGCCGGATTTCAATTAAAGGTTCTGATAACAAATATCGTAAATTACTCTGAAGATTTTTAACCCAAGTTTTTATATCTATATTTAATATGGTGTATTTGAGAAAAAATATTTTCTATTTCAAAAAGAACGAAAACCAATCTAGCAACATTATTCATTTTTGTTTAAATACTTTAATAAAAGCTCTTATTAATGACCCAATTTGAAACATGAACGAGAGTGACACATGCTTTATTTCATTTTCTTATTTTATTCTTCTTCTTGACCTAAAACAAAAAAAAAAAATGAAAAAAGAAACAGGAGTAGAATAAACGGTATGAAATTTGGAAAGGTGTCATGAGAGCGTTGAAAGAGATCTAGTTGGGGCCCGTAGTAGATTAGATTTGTGGCCAGTGGCCAACTTGCTTCACCTCTCAATCTTTTGTGGCCCAATCTTTGACTAGTTCGTTGTGCACTATATATGGGCTTATTAGACCCGCTCTTACCGCTTCTCTTTATATAATTTTTTACTCATCTTAATTTAATATTTGTCGTTCCATATGAGATTTACAATTTAATATTTATGTAGTTTTAACTAGATTTTAACCCGCGGTACACCGCGGGGCTATATTTTCTTAAAAAAATCAAAATGTAATTTGTTTGATAGATTATTATGATTGTTAATTTTAGGATTTCACCCGTGGTATACTATCTTTTATAAATATCAACCCAAACCCGTCCCATCATATTACCCGTCCCATCATATTACCCGTCCCGTGAAATTAAACATCATTTAGTTATTTTTCTTTTTAATAATACTTTTATTTAAAAGCTATATAATTCAAGTCAATTTAAAAATTTCTTTTAAATGGTTCCCATAAGATATATATACATATATATTAAATTTGTATAGAGTTGAAATAATATTAATATTACAAACTTTTTATATAATTTAAATATTATAAATATTTTTAAAAATATGCAATATATATTTTTTGTTATTGAATAAGAGGATATTATGTGTAAGAAATGTAGAAAATAAGAGTTTAATATTTTTATTATGGAGTCGCAAGAAAAATCTTTTATTTCTATACATGTTATTCGTTTATTAATAATAAAAGAAAACAAATCCTTTAAATTAGATATTAACTAAAATAAACGCACCATAATTACTTATTAAGTAACAACCAATAAATTTCACCAAAAAATAGGTAACAACCAATAAATTCTAAACGCAGTAATTAAAGAATGAGATATTAAAAAAAATATCAAATAAGATATAAGAATCTTAAAATAATTGAATATCTAAATAATTTAATTGTTAGTGTCGATTTTAATGCCTTCATTAATGTGGATTTTTTTTTTTAGAGAGAAATATTTCCTAAAGATTATCACATTAATGACTCAGAAAATTAAGGAAGATATGAATTTATGATTCTCGAAATCGTGTTGGTAATATCTTTAATTAATATTTTTCAAATTTAAATAATTAATGCCAATGGCATTCATCCGTAAATACATTCCAACTCCAGGATTTATTTGCTAAAAGTCATCCAAAAATGTATATATAGATTTCAATTAAAGGTTCTGATAACAAATATCGTAAATTACTCTGAAGATTTTTAACCCAAGTTTTTATATCTATATTTAATATGGTGTATTTGAGAAAAAATATTTTCTATTTCAAAAAGAACGAAAACCAATCTAGCAACATTATTCATTTTTGTTTAAATACTTTAATAAAAGCTCTTATTAATGACCCAATTTGAAACATGAACGAGAGTGACACATGCTTTATTTCATTTTCTTATTTTATTCTTCTTCTTGACCTAAAACAAAAAAAAAAAATGAAAAAAGAAACAGGAGTAGAATAAACGGTATGAAATTTGGAAAGGTGTCATGAGAGCGTTGAAAGAGATCTAGTTGGGGCCCGTAGTAGATTAGATTTGTGGCCAGTGGCCAACTTGCTTCACCTCTCAATCTTTTGTGGCCCAATCTTTGACTAGTTCGTTGTGCACTATATATGGGCTTATTAGACCCGCTCTTACCGCTTCTCTTTATATAATTTTTTACTCATCTTAATTTAATATTTGTCGTTCCATATGAGATTTACAATTTAATATTTATGTAGTTTTAATTCAGTTTGAATGGTTTTATTTTTATTCAGTTACTCGAAATTTAAACTGAAATAAATATCAAGATTGCAACGAACCTGTGTCTGTATCAATAATCATTTTAGTCAAATTAAAACATATTAAAGCTGAATTTTATTTTCTTTTTGAATTAAACTAAGGTTTTCCTTTCGTTTTAATATTAGATATGTTGTTTTATCTTACCTCCTATTGAAAGACTCTTTAGAAATTTAAAATTTTAAACGGTCTCGAACGAGAGTATATTATCCACCCAGTTTGAATTGAAATGTAGAAACATAATTTTTTTTTTTTTTTTTTTTTTTTTTTTTTTTTTTTTGTAGAAACATAATTGGGTCACCGCTCATAATAATATTTGAATTTTTAATTATTATTCGTTTTATTTTCTTGAATCTTGTTCCCCTTTGTTTTGCTTCATATGGTCGGTCGGTCCAAGCTGCAGGCATTAAATGCTCCGATGCTTTACATGTGTGTTGCAAGTGGTTCTGAGTATGTGATCAATCTCTATGTTTTGTTTCTTTGCATATTCTTTGGGATTCCACGAGTCTACTGGTAATTTAGATTTAATCATGTTCATCATCCACTCTAAACCACAGATACAAATAAATGGATTCGCAATTCTTTTAGGACATTCGATATTGAATTATTGATGTGATTTCTATCTCCTTCATCTTTTTTTTTTTTTATTGTTGCGGTCAGTACTTGTACTCAGAGTAACTGTCTCTAACTTCGAACATAAGATATACACATCTTTGTTATTTTTTCTTCGCAACATATGTATTTTTTAAATATAAAGGTTTTTGAAAAAAAAACATGAATGTGACCAGGAAGCTTCTGAATGAGTAGTTTCCCACTCGAGAAGCCAAAACCATGGGGTCCAATATCAAATGCTGCAAAAGATAGTAAATTATCGAATTGGTCAAAATAGTGACCTTCAAAGGACCAAACTGTTTGTGTTACTATAGCGTGAGGAAAAGATATATTTTAGTTTTCTTATAGGGAGGAAATATTTTATTCCAAATAATTATTTGCTAATTAGTGGGGGAGGGAATGTATTGAACCATATAAAGGAAAATAGAGTGGAGACAAAGAATAAGATCAACGAGACAAGGTCGTGAGGAGATTTCAAATTTATTGGAAGACTCACGTGTATAGCTAGATAATCCAATTCTTTAATCATGCGATTTAAGTTTTTTTTTTTTCTTCTTTTTGGAAGGGCCAAATCATGTCATTTACCTCATGTATAGAGAACCGGCACTATTTAGGGGTGTTAAGAATTAAGATGGCCGATTTTTTTTCTTTGTTAAGAGAAGCAAAAGTTAGTTCTTAATTAAGATTTTCCTAAATAGGGATTCTTGAAGTATATGTATCCTCAGTTTTCATTATAACTCTACATAAACTTATAAGGGTTTATATTGAAATAAAAATTCGATGAATGAGGCCATGGACTTTAGATCTCTAGAAATTTGTCCCATCCATTTGGATGGACCATGGTACAAAACAGAAAGCAGCCATTTAATTAGAAGACAAACACACTTTGTCCTTCGAAATTGATATATACCAAACTCTATTGTCTTTCTATACGTAGACTTCGACCAATTTTGACAGAATGCAAATTTATATACATGTTTATTGTATCTTATAGATATGTGTCTATATGAAAAAGGTAGAAGTACTTGGTTATCTTTTATGGTGAATTTGAAACGTGAAGGATGTTTTTATGAGTGGAGACACAATTGGTAGGGTTAATATAGGATTCAATGGTTTGGTTCCTTCACATGAATGGGCTTTGTTACTTAAGTGGAAGAAAACAACAGCAGACACGAGAACATGTCTCTCGGCGATACCTTGAATCTTCACTTCACTCCACACCCACTCAAATCTATACGAGGATATTTCAGATGACATCAGTTAAATTTTGACCATATATATTATCAGTTTAACCCATTTAGAATTTGAATTCGAATTCGATTTAATCTTATGTTTGGAGTAAAGAAAGAACTGATAAATGCTCGTTATCGTAGATAGGATCACCATAGTTTATTTGTCATAACAAAACAACAATTGCATATGCAAAAAAAAAGAAGGTGTTGGTATTCACTATTTAAACATGATTTTATTTATATTTTAAAGTATTATGTATATATATTTTTCTCTAATCACTAAAGATGATATTCAATTAAATAATACAAATCATTCATTCATACTCCCTCCGTTTCGTTTTACTTGTCGTTTTAGAGTTAAAATTTTGTTTCATGATAGTTATCGTTTTAGGTTTTCGATGCAAATGTTTGGTGAAAATTCCAGTTTTATCCCTACTGTTTTAATGTTTCGGCCAATGAATTTTTTTATAAAATATATTAATAAAAGGTAAAACAGAAAATTTAATGTTTTTC